TTTTTGCTATTTTCCTGCTGTTTTGTTCTTCCTTTCCCTTGTGCCTTTTCACCTCTGCATTCTGCACGCCGTCTTGTTCTCTCTGTGTTGTGTACTGTGCCCATTCCATTAATACACTCTACCCCTACTGCTTCTTCGCTTCCCTTCTTTTGTCTTAACCATCTCTAAGCCTATAACCTTTTTTCTTCATTCCCCTAAATCTGCTGGTATTTATACTAATCCATGGAGTTTCCTTTATTTACTGATGCCATCAAAAAAATTCTTTCAATAAGAATGAACTGTTTCTATGAAATGCTACTAAAAAGAACTTCTGATTTTTGTTTTGCTTTGACAGCAGTCCTAAAAGTAGTGGGTACCAGCAAAACAATAGACACACCAATCGACAGAACAGGACAGCTAGCCCAAAAGCAGGCCCAGGAGACTTAAGAACTCAATATACTTTCAAAGGAGAATCAGAAATCAATGGGAGGGATAGATTCTTCAATAAGTAATGTTGAGAACATTTGATATTTGAAAAACATCTATCATGTTAGATCATCATCTCACATAACTCATCAAAATTGCTCTGGATTTAAGACTTAAAGTAAAAGATAAAATTGCATAAGAGGAACAAAACTTAAGCTGAAGGAGTATACTTTTCTAAGTATACTGGCAATATAAGAAATCAAAAAGTAGGGTGATTAATAGATTTCACCATAAAAACGAACATGATAACATCACCAAAATTCATAAAGATAGGAAAAAACAAACTAGGAACAATACTTAGTATGACAAATGATTATTATCCTTATTATATAAAAAACTTCTACAACGAAGTAAGAAAAAATGCTGATTCCAAAGGAGAAGTACACAAAAATAACAGACAAGTCACCAAGGGGAACACAATGAATAATACTAAATTATTTTCAGCCTCACTGGCAGTTGAAGAAATGCAAAATAAACTGCTTTTGTCCAAAATTTGCAAACCTTTTTACAAAGAACACTTCGTGCTGTAAAGAGAGGGGCACTCTAGCTATTGATGGGAGGAGCATAAATTTGCCTAACCTTCTGTAAACCAATTTGGTCATATCTACCAAAAGCCTTAAAATATGGATACGTTCCGATCCAACGTTTCCACTTTCAGGAATCAATCTCAAGGAGAGGTGCAATCAGAGCCAGGCACAAGGATGTTCATTGTAGCATTATTTGCCAGAGCATTAAGAAAGAAAGAGAAAAAGAATGAATTAAGTGAAATGTTTTTCCTAATAATAAATTATGATATCTATTTATCATTGAATATTATGCAGCCATTGACTTGCACTAGGAAAAAAACTGAATAGAGAAAATTTTATGATAAATGACTGTAACAAGGCAGGACAAGTTAAATGTTGGTATAACTTTGTTAGGTAAAAACAAAGGAAATACATCAAATATTGACCGTATGTTTTCTGCATTGAAGAATTATGGGCAGTTTTTACTTTTCATATTTTTCTCAATTTCCTAGGTTACTTTTTGTTTTTTAAGATTTTTTTCCTTTTTTCCGCCAAAGCCGGTACATAGTTGTGTATTTTTTAGTTGTGGGTCCTTCTAGTTGTGGCATGTGGGATGCTGCCTCAGCATGGTTTGATGAGCGGTGCCATGTCCGCGCCCAGGATCTGAACCGGTGAAACCCTGGGCCGCTGCAGCGGAGCTCGCGAACTTAACCACTAGGCCACAGGGCCAGCCCCATCCTGGGTTACTTTTACTAACAGTAACTACACTTTACTCTTGAATTTAAATAGAATTTTGAAGAAACAAGACACAGTTGAGCACAATCAGCAGTCACGAGATAATAGAAATGGCAGTTCAGGCTTCACTCTGTTTTGAATTTGCCAAAATTTACAGTATATGGGATGTGCTTATTTTCCTGAACCTGGTGATTTTATATATTTTGATATATATATCAAATATAAATATATAAATATATATATCTTAAATATGATAAATATAATCAAATAAAATATATTTGATTTTTGAGGTCCTAGAAGTAGATAACATACTTCCCAAGATGCCAGCTCTGTATACTTTTATCTAACTTACAGAAATTAGATAATTTGAAAGATGATCAATGTCTTCATATACTAATTTTTTTTTGGGGGGGGGGCGGTGAGGAAGACTGGCCCTGAGCTAAGATCTGTTGTCAATCTTCCTCTTTTTGCTTGAGGAAGATTGTCCCTGAGCTAACATCTGTGGCAATCTTTCTCTATTTTTTGTAAGTGGGACACTGCCACAGCATGGCTTGATGAGCAGTGCATAGGTCCACGCCCGGGATCTGAACCTGTCAACCCCAGGCTTCAAAAGCAAAGTGCATGAACTTAACCACAATGCCACTGGGCTGGCCCTCATACACTAAGTTTTTTATAAACATATTCTAGAATCTTGCAATCCAAATGGTGGTCTGCAGACAGGCAGTATCGGCAACACCTGGAAACGTGTTGGAAATGAGGAACCTCAGGTCCTACCCCAGGCTTACTGAATCAGAATCTGACTTAGTAAGATCTCCAATTGATTTGCAGGCACATTCAGGTTTAATAATTACTGATCTTATCATGTTCTAGTTCTAACTACAAGTCTACAATGTAACTATGTTCCTGTCCTAAGTACCAGAGAAATATCTTCATGATCTATGAGCTCTAAACATTTTCCTAGAATAGCAGTTTCCAACTAATGAATGGGATATGTTCTAAAAACCTTTTGGTAAGTCAGTTGTTCACAACTTGCAACATACAGTAATATTATTAATACTAACTAAATTTCTAGGTCATCCTACAGAGCAGCTTGCTTAATCCATAACGTAGCTGAAGAGGGTCAATTACATTTTGATGGGAAAATGTACTCCCAGTTCTAACAGAAGATTCTAGGAAGGCCTGGTCCTGTGAACAATACAAGACTTTTCCATAGACGCAACTGTGTAGACAACTGGCACAGCTAATAGTCATATTCTGAGAACATTCTAGATACAAGAATAAAATGGATTAGAAAGACAGGAATATCAAGGATTGCTATTAACTCATTCATGCTTTGTCCCAGGCTTCATTTTGACTAAGAATAGACATTGACAAGATTACTTATCTTCAAGGGTTTGGAGGAACCTGCCAGCCTGGGATTGAGGGTCTTAACCTTTCCAATATAGGCACGGCTTTATTAGTTTCAACCTATAGTAACAGAGTTATCATTGAAATCTCCGTATAGAATATATCCTTTGCTTGCCCATTCTTAAAAATGGAGTTTTGTTCTAGACAAAATAATTTGTTTGAAACAGACATCAAGAGAGAGATCTAAGCAGATTTCAATGCATATTGTTTTCTCAAGTCATTTAAACCCATGATGTTATCTTCTACATATCTCAAGATATTAAGACTTCACTGAGATTTGCTTTCAATAACATTTTAAAAATAAAAAAGGTAAAAATTATACTCCCTCAGATTTTCATATGTATTCTTTCCTACTTCATTTTGAGAATTCTTGTTGCAACAGATATTTCAGAATATAAGAATATACTTGCTAGGCATTTTATATTTAGAAGCTCTTTAAAAATACCCATTTTAATAGAGAATAAAACTAACAAATATAAGAAAACTGCAATGATCTATTAATCCCACATCTTGAATATAACATACTGAAGTTCTGTAAACAGCTATTTTTATTTAAAAATGAATAATATTCCAATAGTTTTGGAATCTGCCTTTTTTCACTCAATATCATAAATCTCTCCTTTTCAAGAAATAGACAACCAATTTCAATAAATATACTTCTACAACAACAGTTTCAATCGTCAGGATAGATTTATTCCAACATTTGGGTTCTCAATTTTTTGTTATTATAAACAAATTTATAACTAAATCAAGACTAGACTCTTTTATCAAATCAAAGTAATTAAAGTGGAAGGCAAACTTCCAAAGGTAGCTAAGTTTTCATTCGGTGCAGTGCAAGGTTATTTAATAAAGGAGTATGGTTTGTTAACCACTACCTTTTATTTAATCATGGTCACAAACTAGCTTTTATGTTTATTGTTCACTTCTTTTCCAGTTTTTCTATCTATTTTTTGTCAGAAACTTTTTGATTCTTTATATCACTGTAATTCACTTCCTTCTAGACTTGGCAAAAACTGGATTATTTCTTGGGCCTATTTTGACTTTCACATAAGCGTTTACGCTTACGGGAGTATTTCTGGGTGGATTTTATGCAGAAGGTGGAACAGCTCTGTGGATACGTCATGTCTAATGGGAAATCTAGAGATTGGGGTGGATACTGTAACTACTAAAATAAAAATGTCTTTTAATAACAAAGGTACATCCTTTTTTATACATGTCGCTTGTATGTTGAACTGTCACTCAAATGTACTTAACTTCATTGGACAAGGTACAAGGCTTGCCAATTTCCAAATCCTGTCAATTCTAAATTCCTGGTGGTCATTCTGAAGCTGCAATTATTTAAAACACAATATAATTTTATTTTAAATATAGCTAACTTTGTTCTAATATGCTTTCCTCAGCCCCAAATACATTTACCTTTTAAGTCTTAAAAATGACCTTTCTGGTAGGAACAAAAGAAATTTAGCCACTCCCCACTGTGAGGAGACTCTAACCATTTCTCACAATATAGGACCTAGAGAAAGCCCTGAATGTGTGTGCCAAGCCTGCAGGTAGGGGGGTGGGGAGCTGTTGGAGAAGGAAGGAGAGACACAAGTGAAGGGAAAGGGTATTTAGCCTCTGTCTTCTAAGACTCCAGATTATTTCAGAATAAGGAAGTCATATTTTTTGTTTTAATCAAAGATTTTAGAAAATACCATCAGAAAAAATTTCAAGTTTCACCAAAAATTATTTGAACAAAGATGCAGAATTCATCAGATTATGTTATAGAGACCAGTATGACTTAATTATCCCTAGATTTTATGAACAAACTTTATTGACAGAAACCAAACTTATTGTCCAAAGTGATAACATATCAAAGAAATACATATCAAAATCTGCTGCCATTAATTATAGTTTTTAACATTTTTATTGCATTTACAATGTGTGGAACATTATAAGGATTTACAGTAGAAGCCAAATATCCCAGCCCTTAGAAATCGAATAGGAAAGATTGGATGAACCATACATAAATACTTTTGAACACGAGCATTGGAAACATACACGATTATAATTTTACAGGCTAATACAGTAACTGCTACATGTAACAGAACAGGCAGGAAAGGTAAAACACAGTGGTTAAGAAAGTCACTAGGGTGTGAAATAACTGTAGCTGGGTGGTACTGGATAAAGAGACAACATTGAAAATATGATTTTTAAAGGCAAAAACATCCTGCAAAAACATAGCTATCTCCTATGCACAACTGTGAGGTAGAATTCTTCCCACCCCGTTTTCTGGTTTCTTGACCACCATTTGGGGGACTTTCCTGTCCAGACGGTCCTCTCTCACACTGCTGTACCTGGGACTAACTAGTGGTATGTTTCTTACTATCCCTCCTACCCCCATTGAAGAAAGTCTTTAATGTTTAATTATCATTCTTATTTTACCTGCTGAAAACGGGTGGCAAAAGTTAGTAACATAGACAAACCAGTGCCGTTTCTTCTAGCTAATCTATCACCAGCCTTGGGTAAGTGCTTTCATCTTTCAAGGAGTGAAAATAATGCAAAAATTTCAGACATAGGAACCCCTCTGGGAGCTGTTTTGGGCAGACAGGTATTTGCCTCCCTCAAATAACACCAACTGCCTACTGTGAACAATGCCATTTCTATCCCAGACCCACTTCTAATATTTCAAATATGGATCACAAAAATAGTTCACAGCTTTCTACACATCCAAAGTATAGTGAAAATCCAAGACACAGTACAACCACATTGGAAAAAGGTACTTCAGTTTCTTTTAAAACTACCCTATGACACAGAAATTCTAATCCTAGGTATTCACCCAAGAGAAATGAAAGGCTATGTTCACATAAGACTTATGTTAAGAATAATCAAGGCAGCTTTATTTATAATTGCCAATACTGGAAACAGCTCATGTATTCACAAATAGGAAAACAGATAAATTACAAAGTCATCATACGATGGAATACTACTCAGGAATAAAAAGGAGTGAACTACTACTACACCCAACAACACGGATAAATCTCCAAAACATGGTAAGGGAAGGCTTCTAGAAAGAGGACATGCTGTGTGACTATTTACACAAAAATCTAGAACAGACAAATCTGATTTATAGTAGGAAAAAAATAGTGGTTGCTTTTAGGGGATGGTGTGAAGACAAGGATGGACTGGAAAGGGCCATGTGGAAATTTTCTGATAACGTTTTATGTTTTGATAGCACCTTACACATTTGCCAAAACTCAGGGGATGCATACTTAAGCCCTATGCATTTCACTGTATGCTAATTTTACATAAAAGGAAAAATGTAAGCAAACGTTGAACTCTAGTTTATGCTGAAGTATTTGGCAGGAAGTGTATCGATGTCTATAATTTAAAATGTACCAAAAACTAATCTGCATCAATGAATTGATGGACATGTGATAACAAAAGCATAGTTAATGGTAGCATCTGGGTGGTGAGTACATTGTAAAACTTTATATTTTTATGTTTGAAAATTTTTACTAAAAATTATTGGGGGAAAGAATCCAGCGTGTAATGCTTACCAAATAATGCCGCTGAGAACTTCATTGCCGATCTCATAGCAACATAAACACCAAATTATTCTAATCAGTGTCAATTTAGAAACTTAAGAACGTGTGAAAGGAGATTCCTGAGTGTGAGGTGAGCAACCAGTTCTCCAATCTATTCTAGCTCAAAATTGTCAAAGTGACTTTACAATCCTCTCATGCCTTAAAAAAAAACACAATGCATATACTGCTGGTGTATTCTGAGCAAATTTGTTGGCTGTGTAGCCTAATGTAAGAAGTAAGATGAAGAAACATTTTTAAGAGGGAAACTAAGCATAGAAATTGTTTTTACTTTGACTTCTAAACTGAAAAAGAACCAGGGAAACTCTAATAGAGATGCTTAGGACCAAAACACAATGTGAGGCTTGATTATAGCAAATGGGCTCCTGCGGTCTGAAGGGAAGGACATCTGAATCCTCCTCCTGTCTTTCTCTGAGGGATGCATCTAGGGACACCCTAAAGAGATGGCATTTGACTTGGAAATACTAAGATGACTCCTTGAGATTCACTAAGAATGGCTTCAGACTTCAATAGCCTTTTGTCAGAAATAGTTTTCCACATGCCTGACTTAAAATCTGTAACACCACTGCTCTTAATATGTAGCAGTTGGCAACTATTTTTAGTTATTTGCTAAGAAATCTTCTATTATTATGTATAGGTATTATATGTATTGCTGCACACAAGTTCTTAAACAAAAATAATCTTGATTCTTGTAAAAACGTGCTCACTGCTTTCAAAATACTTAATCTTGGTCCTGGCTTTCCTTTGATCTCTAAGTTCTTCATGTTCTAGCATTGGCTCTGCTTTTTCTTGAAGCACACAGACTAGCGTTGTCCAAGTTTGCTTTAAAATATTAGTCATGCTATTCGGTGTCATATCCATAACCTTTTTCAGTCTTAAACATTCCCCTGAATTTATGCTACTTCATGGAGCATCTTTAGTTCCATCACTCCGTATTACAGGACCAGTCTTTTCTGTTACTGTCACTGTCCAAGCTTACGAAGACTGCTTTCTTCCCAACAGCACTAAGCAGAGTCACAAGTCATGTCTTTTACCTCATTCCTAGGACACTTTATAAATATCTTAACAGACTTGTGCTCTTGTTGCTACAGGTTGGTGCTGACTCACTAAGACCTGAGTATGACTTTCTTTTACCTTCTTTCTTACTTACTAATGGAATTGTGTCATGCCTTGTCAACCCTGAAGCAGATGATGCTCCTCACTTGTCTTCCATCTTGCTGGCCTATCGTCCTACCATAACAGTTCATTTATCAGATTTAAAAGTCTTATTTACTGATGAGCTCACCTTCTCCACCCTCAGTATTTTCAGTCCGTAATTCTGAATGAAGGGGATGGAGCTTAGGGTGGTGAGCATAAACAATGTGCCATATCCCCCAGACCCCATGCGTATCCTCTGAGACACGAGTAGGATTAAAGAATGCTCTGTTCTCTATTCTGAAAGGATAACTATAGTAATAATACCTTCCACTCTGGATAACATTTTAATTTTCAACACTTTTTTTTAACAGGATTGTATTTCATTCTTAAAAGTTGATATGATTTCTCTGTTTTACAAACCCAGAGAAGATAAGTGATTTTTACCAGCCAGTAGATGGCAAAGCCAGGTTTTGAAGTCAGATATTCAAACTCCAAACTCTTTCCATTATATTCACTACAATTCTTATATTGGCTTTTTATGATCTTTTCTCTACTATTCTTGCCATTATTTATGATTCTAACCTAGACTTTTCATAGCATACACTGAAGTCAGATAATGGCAGATGTTAAATCTTCATTTTGCTTCATCAAGGTATTTATTGCTCTACATATCAGAAGAGTATTTTCTACTCCCAACACAAGCTTTTTATTTTGAGAACTGAAAGTCAACAATGGTAAGTTTGCCAATTAGGAAACTGTCCAGCTATGTTCCAGCCCATCTTTTTAACCCTAGAAAATATTCCCTTTGCAGGTTTAAGGAAAGACACCCCAATGACACAACTCTTGTCACTGATGATACTGATCTTAGTTTCCTGTACCATTTCCAACAGGCTCAAGATGTGGAGGACTTTAGCAACCAGGGGATGTTTAGTTTTTAGTAGCCATAGTACTTTACTATGGTTCTATGAGGATGGGAAAAATACACAGTAATATCCAATGTCTCTGGCAAGGAACTTACAATGTAGTAGAGAATGCTGAATTCTTTCTCCAAATGTAGACTGTACAGTGATACAGGGTCAGCTAATCTCACAATCATGCCACCGGTTACAATGGGTTTAGATCAGAGAGCATGGTTTGCTCAGCACTGCCAGAAAACTGTCACGTTCATATCAAGGAGTATGTGACTAAAACTAATAATAGTAAACTAAATACCACACCATATGTCAACTGATGGGGTCACGAAACAAACAACAAACATGTTAATACGAGGCAACACTTTGGAACACTGGCCAATTTAAACGCCTACAAAGTAAGAGAAATATCCAACCTTCTACACAGCAATGAAGCCTAGACCTGCCATTAACATCCCAGCTGGCAGGCTGAGCAGTTTCATCATCACCACCAATGAGTCATCCTATTAGAATAAGGTCACCAACAATGAAGACTTGGAATAAAGCCAATTGTATCTGAAATGAAGTTATCATCCTTGCATCATAACTCTGCCGGGTTAGACATATGTGAAGAACAGATGCTCAAACTGCCATCAAACATTGAGCTTACACAGGAGCAAATACACAATAAGAAGGCAAAAGAAAAAAGTAAATCCTCCAAACCAACAGAACAAAATGAAACTAGCCCAATTAACACTTCAATAATTCCCTGAGATGGGCTAAAGTAATGTGGAAAGTTGTGGCATACACCAATTGGAAATGATGGTTCTTTCTCCGTTACATTTGCAGGCCAATGTTAATTTATGATGTACAAACAGTTTGTGGCTTGCAAACAGACTGCAGTCACTTCCTTAACATGTATTCTAAGCGAACTACAACCCTATGAAAAAAAATCACATTAGAGCGTTGTTGGGTTTTCACTCACAACTGTATGTGTGTATACAGATATACACATAGAAAGTAGCAGCAAATTTACAAATAAAGAGCAACAATATTTATTAAGTTAAAAGCATATTCAGCGTCATCTGAAATACTCAAATTACAAATAACATTTCCAGATACTATCTTATTTTACTCTTGCTGTAGGCAGGATAGCTTAAGGCATATAAAAATTAACTCATTTGACAATAAGTAGGTGAATTGATGGTAGAATTGAATCTCATTCCTTATAATCTAGTTAGTTTCTAGCAAAGTCTTAATAGAAGCATTCTAACTACTCTGAAATTCAGTAGAAGAAATAGATATTGAGTATAACTAAATATCTAAATTAGGTAATATTTAAGTATCCAAAATACCAAATGATTTCCTTATGAGTAGATTCATTTATAATTTAATTCACTCCTAACTTTAGGAAATATGTTAGAAACACACTTCAGACTACAATATAAGAGGGATTATTACTGATGCTACAATAGACCATTCACATACACGGGAAGTGAACAACTACTATGCATGAGCAAAGGACTGGGAACAAAAGTCCCAGGAGACTCCTTCCCTTGAAAGAGCTTACAATGTAGCAGGTACAGACATAAACAATTGTAGCATGTGGTTACTTAGCACCATCATGAAGACCGAAACAAAGAATCATGAAGGTTCACTCATAGAAATTAAGCCCTAAAAGACTGAGAGAATTATCAGATAATACAGAACTTTCTGGATGTTCTCAGAAGCAGTGGCAGCATAAGACAAGAGGGAGCAGTTGAATCTTGCTGCCAGATTTTCTGGCATGTCTGACTAGAAAAAAAGGCTGCACCTTTAACCAAAATTGCCACAAGAGAAAGGTGAAAACTATGATGAATAACTTCATCTAGGTTGAAATGTCAAGCAGCAGGTAGTTCAAAGTACAGGTTTAGAATTTTGGACCAGATACATAACACAGAACATTGGGATAAAATAGAAACCCTAAGAATGAGATACCTCCAGAAGCATTCTGAAGAAGGAAATCTGAGAGAACACATTCTAGTAGACATATTTTAAATAAGAGTCATGTGACTGTACTCACAGTTATGGCAGAGGACAACATCTTCAAGGGAGGAGACACTGTCCAGGAAACAGCATAAAAGATTGAGACTGCTCAATGGTGTACGTGTTGCAGAGACAGAAGGATAAGGGGTGCAGACTGAGAAAAAAATCACTCAGTTCAGTAACTGGAAGCCCACTGAGAACAGTTTTGCTCTAGCGCTGTGTAACAGCAGACTGCAAGACACTGAGCAGCGAGCAGAGAGGATGCGGGGCAATGGAGGTGGATTTCTACAGGAAGTCTGGCAGTGAAGGAGGCTGAAGAGACCGCAGGTTCAGAAGGAGTTTTTTGCATTGGAGGATACATAAGCATTTTTGTAGACCATGAAAAGGAACCAGCATACAATTCTTTGCATAATTTTGTATTGATCACAGACTAAAAAACTATTTCTAATCTTTTTCAAAAACATTTTCTGAAATAAAAATTAGCACAAAAACGAAATATGTACTTTACAATTTAAACTTAATATAAACTTAAAAGCATTAGCATTTTATAAACTTTATTTCTAAAAGAGTTGTACAGTTTTTGTTATTAGACTACTTGAGAATTTTGCTTCTAGTGTATCATGAGAAATTAAATTTTATTAACAGCTGCTATTTTAGTTCCAGAAAGATTACTCTGACATAAAGGATTACACTTATTATGTATACCTCCTTTCCCAGCCCTCCTCCCCTAAAGACAAAGTATCTTCAGGACAGTTAATAATTTGGATAATATTTTTCAAGTTGAAGAAGAGAAAAAATTAGAAATAGTATTCCACTATTCATAGGTTCTTAAAGATCTAAATTGTTCTTCACAATTGTTTTTCATGATAAAACATGCTTATTTATTATATACACATGCTTACATATGAATATCCTGACTAAAACACATGCAACCAACATGACAAAAACAAATATTAAACCATTCTCACAATCCTAAGAATGCCCTTTTAAACAAGGCACTCACGTTTAAAAATAGGATATAACCACCAAATTAAATAAGATGTTTAAAAGAAGCCTTTTATTAAGCACAAACAACTTTTAATACATTATCAATACAAATAGGAAAATGTCTTTTAATGAATATGATATATCAAAGATCTGAAGGTTTTCTTCGTATTGACACAATAAAAATAATCCATTCTGAGGAAAAATCACAAAGTAAAATTTTAAGGACACCACTGTCACTGTCTACTAACAACAGTTTAACTACAGCCTAAGTTCACGACATCACCTGGGGAGGAAGGGCAACCATTTTCCATAGAGAGAATCCCTAAACTCTTATTAGCACCATTCAAAGCTTATTAGCAGTTGTTCATCTACCAACTGACAGGTCAGGTAAAGCTTTAAAGCAAGTTTTCAGTGCAATGATTACAGTTCCTTCTTTTAAGATACTTGGAGTCTATGTTCTCAAAGCGTGTTAAATAATTATGCCTTGCTAGTTGCATGATGTTAACATGTAGAGAGAAATGTGTCATGGAAAGAAATGAGGCTTATTCTGGCTGTGAAATGTATCTTAACGTATTGTGCTAATGCGGTAGTGTGCCGATGCCATGCGGGATTATGAACTGCAGATCTGTGGGAAGCTGGTAGCTATTAGCTCTCTGCAGTCATCATTTCAGGATGTCGCAGCTGCTGCCTTTTGAGACTAACTAGTTTCATCCTGTCTCTGATGTGTTCTGCAGTAGAAGCCATGTCACTTGGACTCCCAAAATATTGTTCAGTTCTAAAAATCAAAACAAACAGAAAAACCCCAATCAGATTAATAGAAATCCATTGCCGGTAGTGAATGCAAAACGAAGCAAAAATTACCATAAAAATTATCTATGTGACATTGCATTAGTTCCTTGGTAGACCATATCATTTATCTTTGAGTAGTAATTCAATAGGAGAAACATTTTTTTTAAATGGCATAAAATACATTAAGACATGTTGAGAAAAATACATTAATGGTATAAATTTCATATCATGCGTACTTATGATAATCTCAATAAACCAAAGAATGAAATCAAACAATGCAACAATAAACAAAACAACGTAACACTGGAGATATTCTGGTTTTCAGTTTTGGGTCCATAAGGATACACAAATATAAAATTTGTTTGTGTACGTCACTGCTAAGGGCTATGTACACCAACTGTCTAATACAGCTGGCAAGTAAAATATCTATTTAATGTTAAGCCATCATTTGGGACATTAACAAAATCATTTCATTTTATCCTACTTGCAAAGATACCATACTCAGAGTCACAAAATCTTAGAGCTGGAAGAGTTCTTGGAAATTATCTGGGTAAGCAATTCATTTTTTAGATCAGAAAACTAAGGCCTATAAATCACTTCACCAAGATCACAGAGCAGAAAAACCAGAATTTGAACCGGGGTCTTCAAGCAGTGAATCCAGGGAGATCAGCTCATTTATTTGCCCAGGAGAATGTTACAAAAGATGAATGTGAATAGTTTACTGTCAAACAAACTTACATAGCATAAAGAGATTATCATATAAAATGGAATAACATAATTCCAAATACTAAAGGCGGTGGTTGTGAAATTTGAATATAGAGCGCTAACTTACTGTTTTATCTTAAGATGAGGAAATGACACAGGGACTATTGTGGAACACAGGAGGAGAAGCCCAGCAAAAACACAAGGGAAGATGCTGCTAGGCTGACCGAGTAGAATGGGAGACTGTGACAACTGGCTGCAAAATGTAGACCGTGGGGTTGGGGGAGTGTCCTGGAATGGAACAACCAGAAGCGGCCCTCTAATATTGTTACTAGCTGAATTTATAAATTTTTGGATTTTATTCTCTTTTATACATTGCAGGTGTATAACATGACTATAGGCTACTTCTGCTTGTTCAAGTTTAGGTATGACTAGAGATTATCTAAGCATAGACTATGAATAATATCCTTTCAAGGAAATAAAATTATGTCTTTTCAATATTAATTCCAAATAATCATTTTAAGTTCATGATACAGTAGTAGTGGCACTTACTACGTGTCAGATTTGTTTTAAGTAGTTTACATAGATTTAGCTCATGTAATTCCCCCATCCCCATAACCTGAGGAGTTATGAAGACCATATCCCTATTTTAAGATGAGGGAACTGAGGCACAGAGAGGTTAAGTGGCTTACCCAAGGTGTTACAGCTAGTAAGTGGTGGAGCTGAGATTTAAACCCAAGAAATCTGGTTCCAGAGTCCACAATCCTACCCACTACACCATACTGCAAGGTAAGGACAGTTGTATTCAATGCTCTGGCTTCTCTACTGTTTGAATTAAATATCCTCTGGATTACCTCTCAATTATTTTCACCAAGAAGGTCTAGATCCTCAGGAATAAAGCCCCTTGAGATTCATTTACTTATTTATTTACATGAGATTATTTCTTATTTTATCATCAACTAATTGAAAAGGAAAGGAATGTGGGAAGGACCCCATCACTTTACAAATAGAGAAATGAGGATTTCAAATAGCACAGTGAAAAGAGAACAGGTATGGAGCCAGACAGACCTGAGACTATCCTAATTCCACTCAGAAACTGTGAATTCCTGAGCATCTTACTGAATCTTTCTGAGCTTCAGTTTCTTCAGCTGTACATCAGAAAATAATTATACTGGCCTAACACTCTTTGGTCAAAAATAATGAAGGTGAGGTGTCTAACTTGGTGCTTGGTATATATTATGAGCTTACTAAACTAAACATGTGCCCCTTCCCCTCCCCTGAACGAAGCCCAAAGTCACCCTACTCCCTATCATCACAGCCAAGGCCAGAACCCAGGATGTCAGCCTAGTCAATGATCTTTCTTCTACAATAAGCTGTCAAGAAGTAACATGCTTGACAGCAGCAAGTACCAACTGCTACTGTTCTTAAAAGCTGAGTTTTTATCTCTTTTTATTTTAAACCAATTTATTGTAGGAATTGTGGACCAAAGCTAATTTACTCAGCTTTTTAAAAAGCAGATTTTCCTCCCTTAATGATTTCACTTTAAGACCTCATTGATAAAAGACAGAATTATAAGAACATGCACCATACCCATCAGGATAAACTACAGGAACAGTTAATCTATCCAAAAGTGATTTTCCAACTGCTTCAATTTCATCAAATTGCTCCTCATCATTAATAGCTTCAGGCTCTTCTGGACAGTCTTGCAAAATCTGCAACAAAGAAAAGGGCAGCATCAATCAAGACACTGAAAGGGAATCAAGCTCATGCAAATTTAGTAGACTGAAAGTGTTTCTGTTTTGTTCTTAGGATCTTCACGTACACCAATATACAAAAGTGACCTATTACAGGCAAGGCTGGCTCAAGAAATTCAAACAAAATGAAATACATAATCCCTACTGATAATATATAATTGGAGTTTTAAAAAGTCTACAGTGATTTTCAAGAAAAAATAACAGTAGACTACTATTCGGAAAAGAAGTTCAAACTGTGCTTAAGAAGTATGCTTTCGGGGGCTGGCCCCGTGGCCGAGTGGTTAAGTTCGCGCGCTCCGCTGCAGGTGGCCCGGTGTTTCGTTGGTTCGAATCCTGGGCGCGGACATGGCACTGCTCATCAGACCACGCTGAGGCAGCGTCCCACATGCCACAACTAGAAGAACCCACAACGAAGAATACACAACTATGTACCGGGGGGCACTGGGGAGAAAAAGGAAAAAATAAAATCTTTAAAAAAAAAAAAAAAAAAAAAAGAAGTATGCTTTCATTCATAAAGTAACTATTTATTAAACACTTACTATGTATTTATTTAGCAAGTTGGGATGCGAATGAAATATAGATTTTGACCTCAAGGAGTTTACAGACTTCAAATATGAAAGAAGATATAAATACAAAACAACACATACTCAGAGTACAAACACATAACTGATGTGATGACCTAGCTGGACACTTTATAGTTATTTAAAAAACTGATCTGTTGACTCGAATTAACTGATGTAAACTGATAAGGCTATAATTCAAATATAGTAAGTTCTACAGTCTTTCATAAGATATTTTTTTCCCTTAACTATTACCATTTAAATTTAACTACAAAAGAAAAGAAAGGGAAAAAAATGCTATAATTTTTAATAGTTAAGTCTACAGGTATTGACTGACACTAGTCAATACAGGAGCCACATGTGGCTAGTGAGCACCTGAAACATAGCTAGTCCAAACTGAGATATGCTCTAAGTCTAAGATACACACCAGATTAAAAAATAATAACAAAAAAATAATAAATTTAACTACAAGAAAAAAAAAGCAAAATTTGGGGGATGGAGAAGAAAAAGGAGTATTTATTTTTGCAACTTTTTTTACATTATACTTTACTTATCCAATCATGCTTATTTCAGCGTTGCTCATAAAGGATATTTTATATTCTCAGATTCTAGATTCAGTTTAAATATTTTCTCAATCATCATACTATACAATTTGCGTATAGTTCTGGTTATATTTATGCTTACTGATATGAAACAGAACACAGTCAAGAGGAAAATAAAATATGATAATAAAATGCTTTACATAAGTTTGCACAGTAAAATAACCTATAATCGAGTTTATTATAAGCATGATAAAGGCCACATAGCAGAAAAAATAGGAACATCAACTTTCCATGAAAATACTCTCAACCGTATTTATTCTTACATGACCTCTTATAGAGGTCTAGATTTTTAAATGTCCTTGTAGCCACATTTTAAAAGCAGTATCCTAAAAAGTTGTCGGTGGTGTGAGAGATCTGGCCAGTGGTCACCTCCGTACAGGAGGGAGGGGCAGCAGGAGCAGTGTGACTAAAAGAGGGTGGGGAGCTTGTGAGGTTAGTAACGTTCTGTTGTTTGACCAGTGCACTGATTACACAGGCATGTTCGCTTTGTGAAAATTCATTGAGCAGAACATTTATGATCTGTGTACTTTTCTAAGTTAATATTATACTTCAATAAAAGTTTTTCATTAAAACAATCAGTAGATAAACAAGTTAAGCCATTTTGTATACTTTCATTTATCATCATCAGGCCCATTTTAAACTAAGACAGTGACCCACAGAGTTCAGAGACCAGCTCAGAAAGAGTTAACTGTGGATCTTTCCCAACAGATGTACTGCATAACACAGACAGAAAGTGCTTGATTCCTGAGGTTCCTGGCCACATCTCTTTTGTTCTCCACGCTAGGTTATCACATTTACATCTCAGGTTTCTCATAACTTAAATAGTATTGAACATGCCCTACATATAAACTCTCACTGTAAGAGATCAAAACAAAGTTAACTACGTAATAAAGCTTCTCTTCAGAGTGGAAATGTAAGGCTTAGGTGCTATAAATTTTCACTGTGCAGAGCTAAGAAAAAGGTTCTATTGAAAATTTGCCCAAATAACACTGCATGTTTCATTTTTGGTTTCTGAGACTAATGAATTCATTAAATAATAAATTCTAGAAAGAATCTTTAAAGACAACACATGAGAAAAGAGTTTTGTTTTTATCTTTCTTCTCATTGTTTCAGTTTGACAGTCTCTACTTTAAATATTAAAAAATTACAAAGTGCCCTTTTAAAAAATTCAGGAAAACTAGCAGTAGTTGCCAAAGCAAAGCTTCCTTTCCTGGTATAATGAGATGGGAGTTACAACACCCTGAAGAACAAAGAGCACACTCTGGGCATCAGGTCTGGCGAGGAGAGCAGCACTGCTGAGAGAGGACTCCTGGATGGTTCTGGATTTCTCCAACCTCAGGACTCCAGCACTGGTGTGGATTACTAAGAGAATTTGAATGAACTCTCTAAGATAATATATTAAATGCAAACAAACTTTAAACAATGGAATTAACGTAAATTTGAAAAAAAGCCCAGACTGATCACAGAATTACATTATAAAATTAACACATTTTAAACATACACAATAAAACTATTGAGACTACACTTTAAAAAAAGCAAACCTTTTCGGCATTTGAGTGGAATGCAATAGCCATTTCCAGCCTGTGCACCCTCTCTTCAGATGCTACTGTAAACTGTTTCCACACTCTGTTCAGTCGAGGAAGCGTCTCCCCGGAGGACCGAGAGGTACAGCGCAAAGACTGGCACAAGACAACCGTGGCCTGTAGCAACTGCCTTCCATAGTCATAAGTGCTCTAAAAAAGAAAAAGTAAACTTGAAATTATAATTAAAGAGTTCTGAGAAGAGGGACAGGAAAGTGTATAGGAGGAATGTGGTTGCAATTAAGTAACACTACTAGAAACCAATACTGAATGACTCCGCTGGCACTTATTACTACAAATATCTGCATGTATAAATAATGAAGGAGAAGCAATACTTTTCTTGAATTTTTAGTGAGTCTCCTTCTTGTTACGCTTCCCTCTCTCACTGTTTTCCCTATCTCAGTCTGCCCAATTCCACCAGCCAAAAAGAATGTTTGCTCACTGAATCAAAACAAGTGGGTGAAAATGGGCACTTTATATTCCACATGAGAAACCACAACTGTTACACTGTGAACTCAATTATTAGGGAAATAAATTAAGATACTTTTCATATGCAAAAAAAGTCTGTATGGTTACACTAACACTGGTGAGATGCAGAAACTGGGGGTCCTAATTTCTATATAATTAACGTATAATTCACGTTAACTTTTGTGAACAGTTGGAATGCCTAAAAAATGCCATAACATATAACATAAATCAGAGAGAGCACACAGAACTTGTATTCAGGGAAACATAAACCCTCTCAAGTTTATGCAGGCTAGTTTTGATGCAGAGCTGACATTTTCTTAGTTCTGTGATATTTCTGGAATAACATAACTAACCTTCTTGGACTTGGAGGGTTAAGCTACATTATAATCATGCAGAAAGCTATTCAAACACTGAGCTTGTAGAAAAGGAAGATAACCAGTTCTGCACCTGTGCAACATCAACAAATTTTCTATGCTTTTCCAGTAAAACTTTCGTCTCCTGCGCATCATCGCCCAATCTGATGTGGGTCTTAAGCAGGGCATCCAGAAGTTCACTTAGCCACTCTACTGCCTAAATGAAAACAAGTAACAGTGAAGCTGGATCCATAACTCTTTACTTATCATATCAAAACATCATATTTGTAAAAAGAAAGATTGTTATCATACAATTAATTAATCCATCAATTATACCCTAAGTCCTTAATAGCTTATTTCATTCAATACCAAGCTACATGAATTAATGACCACTCCACCCCCTTAAAACTTTTAAACTCTAAAGACCTGTTAAAGAGAAGCACTCTTTTAAAATTAATATCACGATTTATATTAATAGAAGATCACGTTTATGTAATATAGATCTTATTGGAATCTCATTACAGATTTATGTTACTATTTAAAAATCATAAATTTCCTCTATGTCAAGCTGAAACAATGTTCTCTAACGCTAAATACACAAAGAGAGGAAACTGTTTATCGGGTTGAAAAACCTTCTTGTGGGTTAAAAAGAAATGTGCTACACCACTCTTTATCTTGGGATGTAACTGACAATTAAGTTAACAATAATATATAATAAATAATCCCAATTTCTAGCTCAACAGAGGATTTCATTGACAAGATAAGTCAAATGAGACCAGTAAGATAACTGGGAATACAAAACTTTCTTATTTCAACAGTATAAACTAGAACCTGACTTAATGAATTTACTTTCTTACGACCATGAAAAGTACACTTTTGTTTACAGTTAGGTGAAGTCAATATTCTAGGAAAAGACAACTACATAATGTGCCTGATTGATCCTTACCTGGGCAGCATCTTCTTCACATTTAAATAACTGCACCATCTGAAGCATCTTTAACCTTCGCACATCTACCATGTCTTCACATCTAATAAACCCAAACATAAATTCAGGATATCATTTCAGTTTGGTTGATAACTATTACAATGTCATCATCTGGCACACATGTTGTATAGGATACTAAAATACTTAGTCCACACTAGGAAGACTGCAACTATTTTGCATTGATTTGTAAGAATTTTAAGTATATCTATATCTATGTTACATCAAAACCTCAAAATACCTGAATGATAACTGAATCAGAAACCCTCTTGAGGATAGCATGGATTCTGCAAAATACTGAAGCAAAGCATAAACACAGTAGTACACTAAAACCCAAAGAAATCTCCATTGCCAGTTAGCATTAGACGAGCTTCAAAAATAAAAATGTAGTTTCTCAAACACTAATTTAGAGGATGATGCTCCAAGGAAATTAAAAAAATTAATACTTTTCATTATATTACATTACCCAGAGTAATATCTAATATTGCATTAAAAAAAAACTCCACCTAATTTTATAAGAAGAAAAAAACTCTACTGATCTCTGGGTGTAGAGAAATACAATTAAGAGTATTTTTAATTTCACCAGCAGCTGCCTGGATAACACAGAGATTAAAGTTTTAAGGGGACTCGATCTAACTCAGCTCTGGTCCAGTCCCTTCATTCCACGTCCTTTGGGTGAAAAGGGGGAAGCTCCCCGCAGACGCAAACACCACCAACAAGTGACCCAGGAGGGACTGGCTCCATGACAGCTCATGCTCTTAAAGAAGCTCGATAACAACACAGCAGTCATGGTCACAGGGCTATTTTTTATAAGGACGTCCTCAGTAAAAGCCCATAATACATTGTTAAGATGTAACTTGGTTAAAGTAATTCTACAAGGGACTGAAGGAAAGTGATGATGATTATTTCTAAAATCTGAAGCTAAAAAACAACGTAAGACTTTTTAATGAAGATGATATACACATATTCAACACATACTGTCAGGAAGTAGATAACGTGCCTGAAAAATATAAGACATGGTCTCTACTATTAAGATGGTCTCATTGTGGGAGATGAACTCAAATAAACAATATGATAAACACTACTGTGGAGTTGTGTAAAAGGTTTTATGGGGGTAGGGAAGAACAAGTGACTAACTTGCCTTAAAAATCTAAAAAGACTTCCAAGGATAAGCATCCCTGAGTCTTGAAGAATAAATAGGAATCCACTAGGTAGAAAACGAGGAAAGAAGTACCTAAAGACTCATGGAACACGGCATTCAGGAAAGTGGAAAATGTGCAGTTTTGTGGGAAAGTTACAGGGGATACAATCATGCAGGACTGGATTATGAAGGGTCTCCTTCACTATTCCAAGGAGACTGAACCTCATCTGAGAAAACAGGAAGTCACTGAGAGGGGTTTTATGCAAGGAAGTTATGTGATGAGATGTGCACTTTACAAAGATTTCTCTCATGTACAACAGACTAGCAAGGAGCAAGACCAGAGGCAGTTAAGAGAGAAGATCTAGAACAGAGAACTGTTCAGGATGCAGAGACAGCAGAACTTGGACATTTGATTAGACTGTGAGGGATGAGGAAGAACAGGATTTTAGGAGAAATCCCAAGTTTGGTGGCTAATGATAACTTTGACCTAGACAGGAAATGAAAGGAGAAGAGCAAGTTTTGGGGGAGAATGATTCCAACTGGACATATTAAGTTTGAGGGGCGTATGAAGCATCCAGGTGGAGATACTCAGTAGGCAAGTGGAATGACGGGTCTAAAGCACAGGAGAGGAGTCCAGGCCAGAGCCACAACTACTCAAGTATGATCATATTAATGAAAGTCATTGAGGTAGTGAGACCGTGAAGGGGGAACACAAAGTGTGAAAAGAGAAGTCAGCCTCAGAACAAACCCTGGAAGCAGCAAAATTAGCTAGAAGACAAGAAAGCAGGGAAGGAAACAAAGAAACAGTGCCAGGAGGAGGATCGTGAGGGTGTTTTCAAAGAAGACAAAGTTGTTATGGAATTTCATGAAGAAAGCAAAAGTCAGTTGTGTCTAATGCTATTCAGAGTGATCAAGCAATGTCAGGACCAAAAGCACGCCCTGGATTTTGAGCAAGATGAAGCATTTACTACATATGGCAATTACAAAGTCACTGATGACATCACTAAGAGCAAGTTCAGTGAAATGGAGAGGGTAAAAGTCAGACTGAGGAAGGTGGAGAGAGGTAGTGAGGAAGTGGTATGAGTGCAGATTAGACCTTCAAATGACTTCGCTGTCAGGAGGGAAAGCTCCAGGGCTAGAAGACAAAGAAATGGTTGAAGAGGAAGGTATACGCATGTGTGTAATTAATTTTTTTTTTTAAATAGGAGACATTTAAGCATTTAAATTAGGGGGAGGGATCAGAGTAGAGAATGGGAATTGACAGTGAGGAGACATGAGGGTACGTGGAAAGACTGGCTCTGATCAGAGCAGGGCTATATCATCCTTTGTGATAAGAATAAATAATGAAATGCCTAAGTTTGCAGATATGAGGGCAGATGAAACTTCTGCCTAATGATTGTTTTCTCTGTGATGCAGAGGGAGCGTTTCTGTGAGGTTTTGTTAATGACCTTAAAATTTCTAAGTGTGCCAAAATTTCATACAACTACGCTAGACTGTGTATTATTGCACATATTAATTTAATCCTTTACTTTGCAATACTTTGCAGTTGCTATTGCAAATTGAATTTTCAAAGAATCCTTGAAATTACTAGTTCTATATCAAATGAAACCTTTTAAACATTATCTTACCCAGAGTCTACTGTATAATCCTTCTACTGTAAATATGAGAACAATGGATGTGCAACAATTTGTGAATATGAAGTTTAGATGAAGAAACAAATCAATGTAGATGACAGCTTTAATAGCAACTCTAAACCAAATGAAAGGAAAAGCAAAATTCTCCAAAAACGGTTATCTTAAAAGACAGAAGAGTCATAGCTATGCTGAGGATATGGAATATGAAATACATCAGTGTAACTGAAATTTTTACTACTCCTTAAAAAAGGGGAAAGGTACCCATTAATTGAACACATTGTCATTATTTGTTAGTACAATTATATATGGTAATTATTACATTCACCAAACCTACTAAACACCCAATATATAACAGGTAAGAACTTTTACTTTGTATGGAAAATATAAATTATATCACTCTTTTTATTTTAATTAATATTGTCTTAGCAAAAATTAGCATTAACGATCAAACTTTGCCTTTGTTTCCTAAGCTGCATATCTTCCATCACTCCTTGTATGTGGTCCACATTTTCTTTATTTTCAATGGTTACATCTTTTCCATAGGCCCAGGATGCCTGATTGGAGATCTGATCCAGAAGACCTTGACCTTTTTCACGCAAACCTTGCAATCCTACATCTAAAACAAAAGTTACTAGATTTAATCTCTGAAACAATGGAGGTGCTTTCCCTCCCTCAAGTAAGTCCTCTCAGCAGATACTGTACTTGGATTCCAAGTGTAACAGCTTTGTACATTTGGGATGGAGTCCTCTGAACATTTCAAGCAAAAAAATCCCTTTAAACGTGCCTCAAACTGGGGGCTCCCTATCATGCCAAATTCTCCCTAAAGAGAATTTCCAAAAGGTGACTTTCCATAGATAATAAGTACTTTTCAAAACTGAAAGCAGGAACAAAGTGTGAGAATTTCTATTTTGATGAGTAAGATTTTTCAATTTTTTTCCTTTCTGCTTTTATGTAGTCCAGTTTTTAGGAGAACAAGGCAAATACCTTGTTCAAAAAAATGTATAAGAGTTGCAAGACTTCAAAACTCTCCAGCAACGTACTATCACTATAAAAAGATGCTGAACATTTTGGGCACAGGCACTGTCCAGCTTTCACCCAAGGAAGCAACACTTAGGATATGTTTACAATACTTCAAATCACGTAAGTATACAAGAATTCTTTTTCCTTTTTTAAACGAAAAGTATGGCTCAAGAAAACTTCTGACATTTTGAAATAAATTTCATTTGGTATTTAAATACTAAATATGTACTATGCATATCATCTGTTAAAATAACAAAGGCTACAAGCAGGTAAAGGCCAATACAAATATGATTTTCCAAACCCATTCCCTCAAGTCCTTTTCAGTAATTAATTCGGTGCAATCATGTGTCACCATTTTTTACTCAATCTCTCCCTTAAGTTTCTGCTTCCTTTCCTCCATTCCCCTTTGCCCTCCTGTCCCACTCAATACAAGCCCCCTTCCCATTTTTACATCCACTATCTACCTCTCCAGCCTCGACCGAGGGAAATTCCCTGTATTCCTCTTGTAGTAAAATTTAAAAGGCACTGGTGGCAAGTTAGAGAACCAGCTTAGTAAAACTGGACCATCCTCCCCTTGGAGAGTATGCAACCTTGGCAATATTCCCAGTTTGGAGAAACAAATGCACAGAACCAAACCAACTATTTTTTCACAAGGTTAGGATATAGCAACAACAAAAATCATTGCATAAAACACAGTCTTGGGCATACAGGGTTCACCACAGAACACTTCACAGCTAATTACAGTCTATGCATGCACTACAAGTAACTGTTCCTAGTATATGCAAGACACAGCACCCGTGGATATGGCTGGGGAAACAAGAACGGCTAAGGGGTCAATGCAGGAAGAGTGCCCTTTTTATACTAATTCTTCCTGCATTCCCTGTAAACAATTATAATTAGTTCAGTATAAGTTGACTTGTCTAACCATAGTAACGATATTTTTTAAAAAAGAACGCTTATGTTTCCGCATTTTTAAAATCTGCTTACCAACACTTTTCAGCTTCTCTTCAAGCAGTTTTAAAGTTTGCTGAATCGAGGCTCCATCAGCTGGTGCTACATCTACGCACAACATCCCTAACAGGCCATCCAACTGCTGAGACAACTAAAGCAGAGGGACACCAAAGAGATAACCCTGATGGAATCAGTATCTAAAGTGTTTAATGATTAATGAGGTTACCACAATTATAGTTGAAAAAGACTATGCTGTTAAAAGACAAGGACGACTAATTAGAATACATGTTATCTGAAAGACAGAACACAGACGCATGCAGCAGGAAGACGAAGATGTGCAACCACGCCAGGAGGACGTAAAAGAGCATGGAAACGTCCATTTCAATCTATGTTATAAACATGGAGAAATAATCAAAATGACACTTATCTGCCAGGTTGGGACATTCCATTTAGACAAAAAAAAGGTTTAGTTGCATGCAGAATGACTTAAACATTTTTTTAAAAATCAAGAAATTTTATCTCATTTCCCCCACCAGTAAATTATTTTACTGTTCCAGAAAAATAATTAGGAGACATGCAAACCTGCAAAAATTATGTGCAGATAAGTGTTCAGATAATTTGAAGAAAAGCAAGCAATCCGAGTAGACACTTACATCTTGGGCAACACCATGAAATTCAAGAGCTGCTTGTAAGAGATTCTGCCTAAATTCCAGCTGACTGGCCTGTCGATAACAAACATCGCTAAGTTGTTGTTGCAGCGACTTCAGTTCCACCAGATCTTCCTCATCCCCGGCATTTAAGAGTGCCGCAATTTGCTGATTAAGCTCCACATATACTGCAAACCATTCCTGCAATAGAGATGTTGTAAAGTAAATTAAGGGTCAAATTAGTTCCCAAAGAACTGTATTATATTTTATAATTTCCCCAGATAAACTAAGTAACATATATGAGAATTTTCTAAGGCAAGATTATTTAAATTGAAGACAAGAAGTTCCCATGCGCCAAACCCTTCCATTGTGGTCCCTGGAACTTGCTCCTGCCAACAGTAAAACCTCTTACAGCCTCATTCTGGCCTCGAAATTTTCCCTTCTTTTTCTTGTTCTGCATGAACCCAAGCCACCCTCAGAGAACAGTCAGCCCGCAGCCCTCCTAAATAACTGCTGTTTTTGTTTCCACAGCCTATATACCACAAGCCTGGAGGTTGGGGAGATGGCTGCCTCATTGCTCATTACTATTTCCAGGCCATTTCTTCTCTTGAAAACTGCATCTCCTTTGAGGTACACGCTGTCAGATGACATCCTTCCACCCTTTCCTATTGCATGCCCTCATCCATGGAGCTCGGCAGAGACCATTCCTTCATCTCACTGCCAGCCTTCTTTCAGACTTCCATGACATAGACACCCACCCAACACTCTGAATTCTCAGTTCCTTGATTCCCTCCCTCACTTCCAACTATCTCGTCCTCACCCCACCTCAGCTACCTACTCCAACAGACATAAAATGTTGCCATTATCATATACTATGAAGCAGCCCCAAAATCTTAATTTCAAGAATCCCATTCTCTGACCACCAGCTACTGACTCTCAATTGACATCCTTCAGCATGGTCACTCCTACCACCCCAGGAGGCCCACCAATCCAGTGACCTCAGCATGTTTTACTGCCCAGCACTCAGGAGCCTCATGCCCTCATATCCTATATACATAGCATAGCCTCACATCCTTGGTCAGAGGCTCTAACCACCACCTGGGCCACAATCCACGCTCACGCCCTGCTCTCCCTCCTTCCAGCAGATTCACCTATCAAAACCTGAGACCTGGTTTCTCTGCCTATTGTGTACCTAGACCAGAGTAGCTGACCACGGCTGGATAAAAACAACTATGCGGACAGGTGGTTTTTTAAAGTTATGAGTTAACCTCAAATGGGCCTTCAGTAATCCTATTACATTTCTCTAGTCAATTCACTTTCCCATTCTCATGATTATTTATGGATTCTTTTCATCCCTTAAATCTTTAACTCCCTTTTCACTGCTTCACTCTCAGCCAAAAATCTAACTTCTTAATTCACTAGGAAGCAATCAGAAGAGAGCTCTCTTCTCATCCTCTCACTGACAAATCTACGGCCTTCCCTGCTTCAATAGGCCTTTGCTTTGCCCTTCCTGCTAAAATAACGGATGAACCGTCCCTGCGTCTATGGCCTACTGCTTCACTTGTGTGTTATTCCATCTTTTGTTACCTATATAAGGCTTTGTTCTTGCAATTATCTTCTCTCCCATCATCAATTCATCCTGTTCAACTGGATTATTTCCATCAGCAAATAAGCTATATAGTACCTTATATTAAAAAACAAAATATATACTTAGATATGTGCATTTTACTATATATAAATTAAACCTCAATCAATAAACAAATCTCCCTTAAAGGAGTTCTCTTACATTCACTTTATCTTCTCATTTCCTATTCTCTTTTTAATCCACTCTCATCAGGATTTTGTCCATCCCACTCTGATCAAATTCTCAGTCTTCATCTTATTGGACTTCTCAGTTACATTTGACAAGGGTGACCACTTCATCCTCCTTGAAATAGCTTTTTCTTATGTTTCCTGAAACACAATATCTCCTTTTTGGCCTCCTCTGCTGGCTCTCCTTTCTCTTCTTGCCCTCTAAATTTAGGAGCGACCCAGGGTTCAGCTTTCCAAGGGCTCTTTTCTTCTAATACTCGTCAGGCTTGGATGATTTCATCTAGTCCCACGCCTTTAAATAACATCTACAGGCTGATAATTCCCAGATTAATATCCTCAACCTTGACTCCTCCCTTTGACCCCAGATACTGATACCCAACTCTCTACTAGCTTTCTTCATTTGGATGACTACTAGGTATCTAAAACTTAACCTGCCCCTAAAGATACTGATTCTCCAGCCTCCCAACCTGCTTCTCTCCCAGTCTTCGCCATCTTCATAGTTGCTTAGGCCAAACGCCTGATTCCTCCAAGAGCAAGTCTTGCTGGCTCAACCTCATGAACCTAACAACTTCTCATCACTTCTACTGCCTCCGTTTTATTAGCCTCCTGCCTTCCTATTTCATTGTCCCTACTCCCTATTCTCCATACAACAGCCAGTGATCTTTTAAAAACGTAAATAATTCTCTGCTCAAAAATCTCTCCAATGATTTCACATAACATTTAAAATAAACTTCAAATTCCTTTTTGGGGGCCAAAATCACATAATACACAATTATTCTCTTTGGAGACAAGGCGTCAGCACTGTAGGATGGCGGATTACTAAGAGAATCCTAATAAGCAGCTTTAGAGATGCTTCTGCACGTTCCTACCATGTGCTTTTTCTACCACCCACCTACCTCCATCCATAAAACTAAGATTTATTATTGAACTAAAATACCTTAAAATCTATTTTAAGTTACTATAATAATTTTAATATACTTAATATCTTTTCTGTTGTGCTTAGCTAGTATTCAAAAACTAAAGAAACTTCTTATTGATACTCTTTGACAAAGAACTACATATTAGAATTTTCATTTTCCATATATTAGTATTGAATATCCTAATAAATTCAGGCTTATTTTTAGCTTTATTTTTGAATTATGCTTTTAGGAAGAATCTAAAATTTAAGTCTTGACAGAGTGCTTTAATACAGAATGGTTTGTTAAAAGTTTTTCCAAATTGTACCCCTATTAAGCAATCAATATACTAGAAATTTGTCATCATAATTTCTAAGACCTGAACAATTCCAACACATGCTTTAAAGTGTTGACTTTTACTTACAAAGAGAAAAGAAAGCTTTTAATAAAAAATTAGAATATCTTAAACATCATAAGCTAATATACTCATCCTTCATCAAGCAATCTATTCTCAAGGTGAAAATGCAGTGCCACCTATTGGTCAAAAGAGTGTAATTCGCTCCTGTAAACCTTTTAGAATGGAAAATTTCAAATCTATTCAGAAGTAGACAGAATGAAACCCCGTGTACCATCCATCTTCAATAACTACCAACTCATGGCCAATCCTGTTTCATGTACCCTCTTGTGCAGTCTGTTCCCACCTCCCAATTTTGAAACAAATCCCAGAAATCACACATCATTTCAAGAAATGAGATCCATGTTAAGCCATCAATGTTTCTTTTCTTTGGGCACCAGGTCTATGAACGCAGTCGTCAGTGCTATGAGCATATGTCCTCAAGTATTAAGCATAAGGAATGAAAAAAGAAATGCTGTATCTTAAGAATTTGCATGAAATTTAGTAGCTTTCCCTGGGGTGGGAGATCTCATCTGAGTATCAGAGATTGGTGTTTTAACCTTAGTCAGTGACCCATTGATCAAAAAATGTAATCTCCCAATTTCTTCATGTATAAAATAAGGTGATGGTATTAGAATTATAAGATTTTTCCCAAATCAAAAGTTCTGAAATTTTATATTGATTTCACGTTATAAGTAAACTTAAGCACATGGAAAGGGCCAACTTGTTTCTTTGATTTTAAAACTTTATAAATTTCATAAAAATACAAAAACAAACATCTGAACACAGGAATCTCTACATATACCATTTGTGATTTCATCCATACTATATGCAACATAAAATATACTTTTTAATTCCTTTTGAGAACTTCATTATTCCAATTGACATCTTTCAAAAATAATAAAATATAGATAAATCTTGTCTTTAAATTCTCACATATTATGTATCTTTACTTAAAGGACTTCTGGGATACTTTCACAACTAGATCCTCTAGATGAAGTCTAGAATGTTCTACAGCAAATACTGTTTTCAAGAACTTAAAAGGGAGCAAATTATAGAATATAGTTACACTATAGTAAGAGGCTCCAGAAAAACCCACAGGGTTCAAATAAATCACAGTCTATGTCAAAATAACAACAGCACTAAGTTATTTAAAAAGCATCAAGAGAATTAAAAGATTATAACCTCAAGAACAGGGGTTATATGTTAAAAACAAATTATTCAATATATATATATTTTTTTACCATAAAAGGAAAAACCGTTATGTTGGAACCTGTGAAATGTATAAAATACACTGATTTTTCCATTACGGGATTTCATTTTTAAGTCTCTTACAAGTACTAATTAGGAAAACTGCAGAGATAGTGTACATATTATCTTCAGATGAGTCCAAATGTTGTGATACCTCTTGCTTATATATTATTCCCTCAGCTAGATTACAACTCCTATAGGATACACTGTGTATTTTATCTACCAGTATTGTTGATTATTAAAGCTGATTTGTGGAATATTATAAAGAAAACAACATTAAGGAAACTAAACAGAATGGTACGTATTAAAAAGGAAAATAATGTCAGATATTGTTAAAATACATCTCTAGTAAAGAGCAAATAACATCTGGTCAACAATTCAAAGTTACTCCTGAGAAAAGAATATTCAATATTTATCCTTTAATTTCATTTAGTTAATATATACATTTACTAATACTATCCAACTTTTAATTACCATTTCAACTGGGGAAACTGAAGGGTAAAGAAAAAAATCAGATGTCAGACGATCTTTAAATCTCAGCTGGGACCAGAGTTTAACATTATAATTGAACAACTTTTTTTCCAGTTCTCTACTGTTGTCCATTTATATCCTAGAAGTCAGGATGTATGTTATATTCACCCTTGAACACATGATTTTTTTTTCAATTAATACATAAATCCAATCAGTGTATCTGATCATCTGGAGTTGCATTTTTGGGGGGAGGGTGCTGGCTTCTTTCATTACCTATTCATGGGGAAAATGTTTTATTCCTCATATTATGTGTATGGTGGATACTACGTGTGTGTGTGTGTGTGGGGGTGTGTGTGTGGGGGGGGGTGTGTGTGTGTGGGTGTGTGTGTGGGTGTGTGTGTGAGTGTGTAAACTGATCAATTTTTTAAGATAATCTAGGGAGACAAATTAATGGATTAGAGTTTTACTTTTCCAATTTTCTAGTCAATCTATTTAAAATTACCATAAGAAGTAATATGACTTGGGGGAGAAAAGAGGTGAGCTAACTGATCCACAAACTGGATGACCACTTTCTCAATAATGAAGAGTTAACTCTAACATAGCAGGAGCTTAACATACATCAATTTCCTCCATATAACAAGTTGTTAAATTTTAAGCCCTCTTGAACAATTATGATGTATAATCTGCCTACAGATTAATCTATTTCCCAATTTCATAACTGTGATTTGATTATCCCCTTGACTGGTACCAATGCAAACCTCTAGATGCACAAAGAATGGAAAGATATCCCGTACCCTGTGCACTCAGTCTCCCTCAGCCGTGATTAACACAACAATTCTGGAATTACTCTCAGGCACTAAGTGTACTGTTTGCTCTCAACAAAGCGGGGACAGGCCTCCTTCCGAGAACTGAACAATCAGGTTCTGTCTCAGGACTATAGATGAAGGTTCTGTTTTTATACTATCACTCTTCTGTCACTGTAGTTTTTTAAATTTCACACAAATTGTGTTTCTATAAAAATATATAATTAGGGGCCAGCCCTGTGGCCTAATGTTTGAGTCCAGCACACTCTGCTTCAGCAGCCTAGGTTCAGTTCCTGGGCGTGGACCTACACCGCTCGTCAGCGGCCATGCTGTGGCAGCATCCCACATACAAAGTAGAGGAAGACTGGCACAGATGTTAGCTCAGGGTGAATCTTCCTCAGGAAAAAAAAAAATTATATATAATTAAACTGTATTGGAGACAAAACCAAAACCAAACTTCTAAGGAATATGTACTAAGAGGTCAAAAGGTACTTCATGGCCTCTGAACATTAAACATCCTGTACTTTATGCCTCTGTACCAAAGTTTACAGCAACTTATCACTTAGTACCACACATGCTACTCATTATGCACATTGACAAGAGCACTGTAACGTGCAGAGGAAAAAGGCCCTCACACTATGCTGGCTCTCGATCTCCTCGTGCTTCTGCTGGAGGGCTTGGGAAGCCCGAATGGAGTCTCCAATGCCCCACTGGGCTCTCAGTTGTTCTGATCCGGGCCCTTCAAGCCAGTTCACAACCTATAAAGGGAAGTTGAGATGAAATATTAAAATAATCCAATGCTTTTCAAACTTTCATTCTAATTAGTTTTCCCCTTCCAAAGTTCCACAAGCATTTTTAATTTAAATTCTTCAAATTCTATTGTACAGGCAGTAGATGTTTCTTTCGGAACCACACAGCTACAACGTGACAACTTTTCCAAAACCTAAATCTGAAAGAAGGCACACTATAGCACCTTAGGCTTTCGGTTATCTGATCACCTGCAGGCTACAAGAAATCCGGAAAGCTCCTATAAAAGAAGGTTAAAAATTAACTTACAATGACAAGAAAATCAGAGAACTGTAGGATTTAGAGTTGGAAGGGACATCAGAAATGACATTGGTCAAATTTCTCATCTAACACTTAAGAAAACTGAGTTTCGGGAGATTAAATGACTTGCCCAAGGTAACATAAACCATTATTAAAAAACTAAGACTAAAGTCCACGTGTCCTGACTAATGTTCTCCCCAAAGCATTGATAAAACTGAATGAATTAAGTGATTAATATAAAGTTAAAACGGTATTTTTCTCACTTTGAAAAGAAAATTGAAAACTAACTGTAGAATTATACTTCTGCAATACCCTCTAGGGATCTTCTTAGGATCAACTAAACATCCAGCCCCACAAGGCCAGCTGAAGTCCCATTAGCACCAAGTCTACTGAGAAGGATGTAGGGTGGGGACTAGTTTGCCAGAACAGCAGCACTGGGTGTTTCTCTTCTGCTGAGTCCCTGAAGCAGCCCAACAGTTCAGGTGTAAGGAGATGAGAGCCACAAAGACAGATATGGGAGACACTCTGGCATCAAAACCTCCTACCCCACAGGAGCCGTGCTCATTATAAAAGTCACTGAACTCAAGGATGCCCAAAGTCATGCCTTCCATCAAGTATTAACAGGTCTCAGAATCCATACCTAGAATAATTTTTACTATAAGCAATGTTGTCCAGTAACAGTTGACATTCCAATTTTTATCAGGTTTGCAGGGGAACAAAGCTAGATAGTTAAGCAAAGATCAAATTCTCATGCAGAAGGAGAAAGGGTTTGTTAACTCTTTACCCACAGACACATACATTCTAAAACTACATAGACAGAGTGAAGTAATTTTAAGGGAAAAAACAGTATTATCAACCTTTACATGTTACTAAACTAGAATAAAGAATTCAACAACAGATATACAGTTATGCCCTAAATCTAAACTTAGGATAGCTCCCAAGAAGGGAATGAGGGTGTCTCTGCAGCATAATATTATAGAACCAGTGGACAGACAGGCTTACCTTAGAACTTTATAACAGAGCATCACAGACCCATAGTGCATTTCTGTTACTACCAGGTGAAAAGGTATTCATTTTAAAATCAGACAGTTCATGTAGTTGTTAGTAATTATCTAAAAGTACCACATCATAGAGAAAAAACATATATATTTCCATTAATTTTTCATACGCATTGCATCTTCAGATGTTACTCCAGATTTAAGTGCTACAGCCAATTCTCAGAGAGTACAAGTAATTTCTATCCTGTGTTTTTCACTTAACATCACACTACAATACTATCACGATTTTCCACGTGGCTGTAGCTATTATAATTTTCAATGGCTGCAAACCTCTTTTCGAAGAAGGCCAACCTCCCCGCCTGCCTGCCTTCCTCCCTCCCTCCCGTCTGTCCAAAAGGAACCAACCAACCCACCCATCTTTATTGGGAGCTAAGTAAATCATGTACTACCTCAAATAACTGTTATGCCTGCTTTCAAGACTCCAATTCTCTATTGTTGGTACGAATTACTTAAAATTTCCACTAATTCTAAGTAATTCTAAGATGAACACATATATGTAGCAGTTATATATACCTTTTTTTCCCTGAAATTCTGCACTGCTTTCCTAGGAAAGATTTTTAATTGAGATCTTGGGTTCAATGATGATATAACGTTAATGGCTGTTAGCATACACTATAAAATTCCTGTCTAAAACACTTTTCTATTTTAAACAGCCAAGTAATGAAAGTTTTAACTGAGAATAACCTTTGCAAGGTATACAAACTGACTACTGCTTTTAAAATACTTCTGCCAACTGAAAAAATAGAAATCTCTCCAGTCATATTTTAAATATTAGTGAGATTGAATAAATTGCAAATGTTTGCTTACTAAAAGTATATGATCTTTGTGATTTATCTCTTCGTGTTTTTTGTCCATTTATGTCCTAGTATTTTAAATATTAATATATTCTTGGCTTCCACCTTCTCTTTATAAGATTTTAATACCAGAGAGCAAAAACTCAAAACCAAAAAAAGTCAAAATATTATTTTTGACTCACTGGAATAGCCTTGTGCTATAACTTTCTTTGCTAAACTCTTGTTTTCAGAGTCCTAAGTTCATCTGCAAACCCCTGTTGTCAGCTGTTCTTTAGAATGCAATGCTTTGTTCCTCAACATCTCCACTTTTGTGCTTTAATCTTTTGTACGAGCTGTTTTGGAGGAGCAAGGTACTAGGATCTTGTCTCTCTCTGTTGGCCTGTGGAAAGTATCATTCTTTCACAGGAGAGTCAGATAAGCTGTTACGTCTGGAGAAAGCACTAGGCATGAGTCAATTCTGAATTCTGGCTCTACTCCTACTAGTGGGTCTGAATTTTGGCTCTGCTCCTACTAGTTGAAAGACTTTGGCCCATCATCTTTAAAATGGTGTTAATGTTACTTACCGTACAGGACTGTTGTCAGGATTATACCAGTCATTATATGTAAGACACTTAGCACAGCAGATGATACTAATAATTGTTAGCCTGTTTGCTTTCCTCACTTGTTCTGAAGAAAAACACCCTAGCTCCTTCTGTCTATTCACTCTTTATAAAGTTGGTCTCACATCTGCATTTTACAGTAAGAGTCCTGTGTTTCTTAAGCAAGTCTCTGAACTGTTTTACTCAACACTTTTGTAGGAGTGGGGAAGGAGGGAGGAAGATTGGCCCTGAGCCTACATCTGTTGCCAATCTTCCTTTTTTCACTTGAGGAAGATTGGCCCTGAGCTAACATCTGTGCCAATCTTCCTCCATTTTATGTGGGACACTGCCACAGTATGGCTCGATGAGCAGTGCTAGGTCTGTGGCCAGGTTATGAATCTCTGAACCCAGGGTCACCAAAGCAGAGCACGTGAACTTAACCACTACCTCTCTGGGTCGGCCCCATTATTCAACACTTTTTTTTTTTTTTTTGAGGAATATTAGCCCTCAGCTAACATCTGCTACCAATCCTCCACTTTTTGCTGAGGAAGACTGGCTCTGAGCTAACATCTGTGCCCATCTTCCTCTACTTTATACGTGAGATGCCTACCACAGCATGGTTTGCCAAGGGGTGCTGTGTCCGCACCTGAGATCCAAACCAGCGAACCCCAGGCTGCCGAAGCGGAAGGTGCGCACTTAACCGCTGTGCCACCGGGCCAGCCCTCAACACTTTTTAAAAAAGGAAATAAAGAGAGTAAGTTTTAAGGAAGTTTATGTGAACATTTTGAAACAATCTTCCATTTCCTTTTTGGGACTTAACTGCTTCTCATTTATTATTATGTATTATGAATATGGATATAGAAACAGATACAAAGTGGCTTTTAAGTATTTTAAATGATTAATATAATTAATTATTTCACTAGAAATATCTGAATTCTAAAAAATACAGGTGGAATGAAAGCATCTCAAAAATTTTTAACTAATTAATAGTGGATATATTATTTTTAAAAACCTAAGACAACATTAAACTTTGATTTTAGACTACTCTAGAAATAAAAGCAGCAGGTTAATAGAAATCATGATAACTGGGGAAAAACAATTCATGAAACTTTTGAAGAACGATACATTTGAAAATAAATTTTAAATTATGCAAAGACATCTCCTTGGCACAAAAAACCAGTCACGTGGTCAAGTGCACATATAGTTTTAATGTATGCTGAAAGTAACTTCCCTTAGTATGCAACATCAGTAATGTAGACACAGTAAATGTACGACTATTTCTAGTGAAAATGATGCAAATTGAGGTTGACGCCCCAGTAAACAAGTCTATTTAAATGCATTAATGATGGTGGTTTGTCAAACTAGGTTATAAAATTTAATTTCAATCAAGACATCTTGCTCAGTCAATCTGAATATTAATTTACTGCAAAAACTGTTCCATGCCCAATCCATATCAATATGACCCCGCAAATGGTTACATTTACATGCACAGGATAACCTTGGAGATGTGCTCTTAAAATCTAAGGTGACAAATATTTGCAGAGGCCAAAAATGCCTGTGACTATCCACCATTCTTTCCTGACCAGGCTGATTTCTAAAGAGAGCACAAGAGAATATCTGGAAGTATGTGGGTCAAACCAGGCAGAGGGGCATGTCAAGCAAACGTCAAGCATTTAACCCAGAGAAAGAATCTGGGGAACTGGGAACATAGCCTCCAGCTGTACACTTATGCAACTCAGAGTATATCCTATTTTGCATCTATGGTTCCTTTCTACAAAGGAAGAAAAGCTCATGGATGATTCTAGAAATAACATCTGCAATGCCAACAGTAATTACTGCCACAATAAATGATGAGAATAACGATCGCATATTTCAGTGAAGTGGCATGTCTCCTACCCAGAAGCACGTGAAATCTAAGGTCCAAATGCAGCAGCAGCAGCATGGTCTGCGTAACAACAAGACGTCTAATGCTACCGATCTGAACTGTGGGGAATAAATGACTGATAACTATAATCGTCATTACTTATATAGTTTATTTATTAAAGCTATAGATTTCTCTTTCATTATGTTTTTAGTGGTAAGTCAACAGAAAAAGAAATTTGAAAAATTCAATTTTTACTAATTTAACATAAGCAGAGACAGTCAATTTTATTTTTATATAAACAAAAAATCTTTTTCATTTTCCCCAAATTTGCAGGACTGAAGACAGTATAGTTTATGTTCTGTGTATGCTGACATGATCAATATATGTTACTATATAGCTAAATTTAGGTAATCATTTTGGCAAGGGAAATACATCTTTCCCTAAAATGTGAACTGTGAAAAACAGTGCAGGAACCATTCCATGATGAATAATAGTGTTCTAACCAATTCATGAGTAATGCTCATAAAGAAAATTGAACTGTAATAAAGTTGATTTGTTTTTAACAATAATCTCATTACCATCATCACCATCATTATAAATATCTTCATTATCATCTGCTTCTCTAGTTTCTTTCTTCTTTATCCAACTGAGCTGGTCCATCATTTCAAAAACGCCTTTGCCAATACATTAACCCCCTTGCCCCTCTGTCTTTTTATCATACCTATTGATCCCATGCAGCAAAGCACAAATGCTGGATGAATCCCATCACCCGTGTTCTTTCTCTGTGCCTGCACCTCAACGACCAGCTATGAATTGAGAGGCTCACACAAGAGGCCAGAAAGTTTCCACTATAAGTTCAAGATCAACACTACCTAAAAATACAACTACCTTTCTATGGTAATTTCACTTTTCCAATCCCCACAAAGGAAATTCTGAATCATCTTCACTCCATTCAAACCTCTAATTCTCTTCAACCACCACACCTCTACCCTGCCTCCAAACCTGCCCCACCCCACAGATGACCTTTGTCTCTGACTTCACACAAAAACGCGCACACACACAGGAACTCCTCTATCTTCCTGATGCCTGACTAATATGTGGAGGCACCTCTGGATTCATCCCACCCCTCCCTCCTCCTGTTACAAAGGAGGAGTTCTCCCTCTTCCATTCCAAACCTAACCCCTTCCATCGTGCTTTGGAGTCCATTCACCTCACCTGGTCAGGAACTTGATAGTATTAATTATCTTTTCTCTCTTGTATATTCAATCCCTCCCTCCAAACAGATACTTACCACTAACCTTTAAACTTCTTACAGTTTTTCATATTATTAAAGAAGAAATCTACACTTGAACCTTGATGTGGGCTAAACTGTGCCCCCCCACAAAATCCATATGCTGAAGTTCCGTCAGTACTTCAGAATGTAACCATGTTTATTTAAAGATAAGGTCTTTAAAGAGGCAATGAAATTAAAATGAGGGTATTAGGGTTGGCCCTAACCTAATATGACTGCTATCCTCAAAAGCAGAGGAAATCTGGACACAGACAGATACAGAAGGAAGATGACGGGAGGACAAAGGGAGAAGATGGGCATCGAGAAGCCAAGGAGAGAGGCCCAGAACAGATCCTTCCCTCACTGCCCTCGGAAGGAATCCACTCTGCCAACACCTTGACCTTGGACTTCTGGCCTCCAGAACTGTGAGAAACTAAATTCCTGTTGTTTAAGCCCCCTAGTCTGTAGTACTTTGTTACAGCAGCCCTACTAAATGAATACAACCTCTCTTCTACCACTCATAGGCACTGCTCTATTTCTCATCTTTCCTTCAGAGACAAAATTCTCAAAGCGTAGTCTATATTCAGTGTCTCCTTCACCACACTTCACTCTCAATTCCTGGATTCACTCCAGTGAGCTTCTGGCCCTGCCACTCCATGCCCTAGGATCACCAATGACCTTGATCTTGTGCATTCTAATGGACATGTTAAGTCTCTCTCTTATTCAGTCTTTCAGTAGCATTCGACAAGGTGCCCAACTCCTTCTCTGAAATGCTTTCTTCCCTTGGCTTCCACAACACAGAACTCTTCGCACTTTTCTCCTTCATTTCTGGTCAATCCTCCACTGACTTCTTTTCAGAAGTACGCTCCTCTATCTTGTCATTAAATGTTGGAGTTTCTCAAAGCTCAGTTAAACCTACTTCTAACCTACTCTCAGCTCTTTCCTTGGCCAATTCTCATCCACATCAATGCTTTTAATCACCATTCATTCACAGATTACAAACAAATATGTCACAAACCCAGACTTCTCTGATTTCTGGACCTGTTCGGGACAACCCTTCTATATCTTCTCTTAGATATCTCAAAGTCACCTCAAATTCAACATGTCTAAAACCAAAGTCATGATTCTCCACGCCCTTTTCCACTCACATTTAAACTCAAATGCTGTTCAGTGTTCCCTAACTGGATAACACCACCATCCATCAAATCTTGCAAGCCAGAAAAATGATTCATCTCTGATTTCTTCTTTCTCATCCTTACTCCCACTACTCTCCTTCTTGGGAGTAGGCATGGTTGCAATTTTACAACTATTTGTGTGATTATGTAATCATGCACCATAAGAGTGGGAACCTTGTCAATTTTTCTTACCATTATATTCCACCTAGCATAATGACACACCATTATAGATACTCATTTTTTGAATGAGCAAATAATAGACAACACTACCAGAAAACTCATTATGTGCCAAGCACTAAACATTTTATAAAAATTATCTTCACTAATCCTTGTAACAGCCCTATTAAGTATTATTATTGTTCTTGTTATTCTCATTTTACTAAGAAGGAAGGTAGGGCATGGAGACGTTATACTTCCTTCCCAAGATAAACAACTTGGAAGTAGATTATCTGGGTGATTTGTATACCACTATGCTATTCTATCTTTATGGTTTTCAAAGATACTCTCAAGCTACTTGGCTAAAGCTTACCTGGGTTTAATACAAGCTATCTTTAACTTACAAATATATTACATAGAAGAAGTTATACATAATTAACGTATGCTCAGAAATCTTCAGTTTATATGTGGTTATGATGAGATAAAGCCTAAATCCTTTTGTCTGGAATTCAAGATCTTCCATGATCCAATTCCTTCTTTCCTTTCAAGACTTTTTCCCCATGACACCCTGATGCTCCAGTCAGGGGTCAGCAAACTATAGCCTGCAGGCCAATTTTGGCTTACTACTTGTTTCTGTAAATAAAGTTTTATTGGAACACAGTCACATACATTTGTTTACATAATGTCTAAGCATTACAATGGCAGAGTTAAACAGCCATAGCTGAAAGAAAAACTGTATGGTCCACAAAGCCAAAACATTTACAGTCTGCCAACAAATGAACTAGACTTAGACTAGAGTCTACTTCAATGAAAACAAATATAATAGCTCCCATTAATCAAGTGCTGGGTTCTTTCAATAAACCTTTCAAAGGGGTGTTGTTACCCCTGTTTTAGTTAATAAAACAGGAAGGAAGGGAAAGAAACAGAGGAAGGGTAACAAGGAAGACAGAAGTCAGATGGAGGCTCAGGTGAGTAAATAATGTTACCATGATCACACAGTAAATAAGTGGAGGAACTGGGATTCATAGCATGCTCACTGGCCATGTTCTATGACTCAAAAGCCAGAAACTCTCCATGGTGCCTACTGCTTCCTTCTTACTCAACAGAGCTTGGAATTTCATGCTGCTAGTGCTTATTCACACTCTTCTTTCTCCTTCACAAAACACCAATTCTCCTTTCACAAGGCACCTTCTAGGGAAATCTTATATACTATTGGAGGACAAGCTCAAGTGCTACCTCCTCCACTAAGTCTTCCTAGATCACCTGCAACCAGAGGAATAACTGCTTCTATAAATGTCCAGGGCACTTCAGTCACGGCCTAGACACACTTAACACTTCCTCTCTTGAGGCTGAATGTTAGCAAAAACCACGTCTACCTTTATATCCTGTCAAAAACCTAGCAGAATGTCTTCTATATAACAAGCACTTAATAAACACTTATCTAATGAATGAATGAACCTAGATAAAAACATTGGGACATTTCTCATCTGCATTTTTAAAATAAAATATTTAAGATTGATTTCTCAATCACTCAACAGATGAAAATCCAGAATGTAGTCTAAATAACAGAGATGTCTTCCTTAGTATTTATTTTTAGTATTTTTAGCCTACTTTTCTTATAAAAATTCATTTTAAAAGGAACTAAAAATTCATATGTATTAAATAAATTTAAAGTTTTCTATCAGTATCATAAAATAATGAAATTTAATATTGTAATTACTTATATTCGTGTTATTATTTTGCTAGGATAGAAAAACTCTTCATAATGCCCAAATTAACAAAAAAAAAACCTAACAAGTTATTAGAAATTAAGAATAAATCAAATATCAATGTTATTTATTGCAAGCATACACTGAGAAGACAGATATTTCCAACAACTAGTTACTTTTGAAGTTCATTCTGATAGAGTGAGGTAAATGCTCAATGCCATCACTGTAGAAATAATTTTAATGGAAACACTGCTTGTAAAAAATAGAGATAATTAAAAATGGTCTAATATGTCTAAGGTTCTCTATATTGTGTAAATAACGCTTAGTATAAAATCAGTTACAGAGTAGAAATTATTTTTTAAAAACTCCAACATTTAGAATCAAAAGGAGCTAAACGTGTTCAGATCAGACACCTACCTGCAGGACCTTCTGCTGAATCTCTTCTAACTGCGTGCGCTTGCTGCGCTGCCTGCAGACTTCCTGGTAGCGGGTATACTGCTCCCGCAGAGAGTCCAACAATTTCATAACCTGCGGCTGCGCAAGCAGTTCATCGTCCATAGGAGACCACGAGACCCCTCCCTCCGAGCCGTTAAATCGACGCTGCTGTAATTCGGATAACAATTCATGCCCTTTATGAATGAAAGATACTTATAATTAATATCCATAAACAAATACAATTCTTCTCAATTCTAGTCCCTTATTTTTAGAATCCATCTGCCTATATGACTACCTACCTACCTACCAGGTCATACGGACAGGCGTACCTCACTTTACTGCACTTCACTTTATTGCTCTTTGCAGATACTGCATTTTTTACAAGATCCTCCACCAGCAAAAAGATTCCAACTGGCTGAAGGCTCAGATGAAAGTTAGCATTTTTTAGCAATAATGTATTTTTTAATTAAAGTATGTAAACTTTTTTAAAACACAATGCTATTGCACACTTAAACTATGGTATACTGTAAACATAACTTTTACATGCACTGGGAAACCAAAAACTTTGTGTGACATGCTTCATTGCAGTATTTCCTTCACTGCAGTGGTCTGGAACCCAACCCGTAATATCTCTGAGGTATGCCTGCACTGAAATGCAGTGTTTAAATTTATATAGCGATAAATAGAAAAACTGCATGTACGCATACATGTGTACATATACTACATAGCATAATTATATGCTGTATCATAAATTAATATACTATATACGCTATACTATATAATAAATATATAGTATATATGGTGTATATATATTTTCTATATCTATTTATCATATTCTTGTCCCCATTACTCAAGATACTGTGCCAACCAATCTTCTTTCCCTGTAAAGCACAATGACACTCTGAGATTTCTGTCTGATGGTCCTAATTAGTATGTTCTGTCTCATGGTACTAATCAATAGTGAGCAATATGCTGTAGGATTTCAGTATTTATCCATAGCCTTAATCACAGCACCTAAAAGATAAACTGACAGTCTAACAAATGTAGGATTAAAGGAAGAAGGTCTTATTATTACTGCTACAAAATAATATCTAAATAATCTCTATTTATAGGAATCTCTAAAACATATTAACTGTGAATCATGAGGGCCCATACTAGTGTAAGAAATGCATCCAATGTTATTCAATGACAGCAATAAATAGAAAATCCACTCATGCATGAGAAATTAAAATTGCAGAATGTGCAACATCTAAAGCTGTAAGTGTATTAACAATTTTAAAAGTGAATAAGTTGCAAATTGTTTTTCCAGGATAATATTATTCCAACTATTATTTAGGGACCAAAAAATATGCAGATATTTAAATTTTCTTCTCTTCATATTTATTCAGGAAAATGCTCTAAATTTAAATGGCTTTCAATATACAGAAACAGAATTTTTATTATGATTTGGAGTTATTTCCAGTTTCTAAAAAATATCCAAGATTGTTCTAAACCTCTCTATTTTATACTCTCTCTCTACTTTAAGAGTTAATAGCATATAAAAAAAGGACTTACTGGCATATAAAATTAATTTTGAATTACAAATTTAAAAAGTTTCTTAATTCAGTGGCTTAAGCAGCTTTCAAAACGTTAAATTTAAACATGGAATTAAGTTTTAAATGTAATGCCATATACCTTCTAAACATGTAGGAATTCAGAGATTACAATTATTTCTTTGCTCTCTAAGGAAATAAAATCTGTATCATACTGATAAAACTTAGGACAACTAAATCAATTACAATGAAGATACACAAAGAATTTATTTCTTCACTCTTCATTATATTTTATAATTGGAAGAACATCTATTTTAAAGACTTATGCAAAGTCTATATATACATATACACAACAGGTGTGTGTATATATATTCATAAAAGTCATTAAAATAGGAACGCATTCCTTTTTTTCTACTTTCACAACTGTTACCCTTAATGTTTTCCTCATGCATACCATTTCCATTAGAGAAGGAGCACCATAAAACGATTTCAAAGACCATCCTTTGAAATCAAACTGCCTTGGTTCAAGTCCCAACTCTAGCATTACTAGTTGTGTAACCTGATAAGTTACCGAACCCTTTTATGCCTTCCCTTCCCCATCTTAAAATCAGGATGATAACTGCACTTACTTCACTGGGATGTGGTAAATGATAAATGAGTTCACACATGGAAAGGGCTCAGAACAGTGCCGGGTACACAGTGGGATCAGAATTATGAGCTATTATTAGAAAAATACATTAGAAATTAAGGTATTTTCATTTAAAAGAATTCCAATGTGTTTTCCTAGAATTTGTGAAACCACAACCTGAGATATTTGGGCTGGAATATACACACTGTGCAGCACTGAACACGCACCATGTGCAAGGCCACCGCAAGGCGCTAAGGGGTCTTCCACAGATGACTGTAAAACAGTACAGCCTGTGGCTTCGGATTTAGGCCTGTTTTTAGTGCTGTGGTGACAGATCTTAATAGTCACTCGATCTTGAGCAAGTGTTTCATATCGCTACGCCTTGGCTTCCTCACGTACAAAACAGAGAAAATAATACTAATTATCTTAAGAGGTTGTTAGGAGAATGAAATACGAAAATACATAAAAATACAGTGCTAGAACATAAAGAGTAATCAATAATCCTCATAGCAACCCGATGAAATAGAAATTTTTATCTCCATTTCACAGATAAAGAAATAAATCCAAGTATTTCAAGGGAGAGAGAGTTTATCATTATTAATATTTTGTTTTATATTGTAGAGTACATTAACACACTGTTAGGTTAAATCAAAGAGCAGTTTGAAAAACTTCCCCTCAAGTTTCTACCAAGTAATGCTTGCTCAATCAATGCTTATTTCATAAACCAATCATATATTGGACATCATATTGATTGGATTATGATTACTGGATTATGATTATCACTGATAAATACATTTTTTTGGTCTTACCTGTCTGAAGAACTGTTTCAGGATCAACCGATGGAAGAAAGTTTAAATCTACAGACCTGGAAAGCGTCAAAAGAGCAATTTTTAAAAGTTATACTTCTATCCACATAACTTAAGAAAATTCTCTATATATACATATCAAAAGAGGGGCACACAAGTATGAAAATCTGAAGAATACTATTCTACCATGCTAATTTCTCTTAAGCATTAGGAAGTCCATCAGAGATAATTAAATACTAGTAGCCAAAGAAATATCTATATGATAAATTACAAAATATACTACTTGAAAAAATAGTTTATTATTATTAATTATAGTATCATTTCAAATATATCAAAGAAATCCACTTCAGTATTTTTCCACTGGATATCTGTTTCAAAATGAAATTTGTAACTATATAAGAACCCAGAAAATAAACATTGAAAATGCATGCAGCCATCCTCCAATCAAAAGTTAACGTCTCTACAGCAAGCCTCTGAGAGCTGCAAGTATTCTCTGATATTCGTGTGTCTGCGTGCACGTGTATGCAAGTCCTGTAGCAGCTGTACTCTCTTCCCTGTACTAATTATGCTTCTTTTGCAGTTGGACTACAGCCTTTATTTTCATAAACACATATGGGAAGTAGAAGACAAACGAAAGAGGGTACACAGCAAATCAAAGCCGAGGATCATCCATGCTGCTGTAACTGACAGGTCTTGCTCTAAATCTTTCACTCTTGTCAATTGATCTAGGCCCTCATCTCTGAGTAGCCTAAATGCTTCCTGAGAATTGACATTAAGAAGGTGATGAAAATTTGCAAGAGAAGGGACGTTATCATCTGAGGTTTAAAAGAGCCTAAACAATTAACACTTGAGTTCCATGGGGAGGGATGGCAAATACAAGACTTTATCTGATACTTCATGCAGGCATACAAGCCAGCATTTCCCAAAGTGTTTCCCAAAATACTGATCAAAATATTATTAGATGGAGAAAAAGGGGTCCCATTGGCATCTAAGTATAGAAGTTCTTAGGAAGCAATTAAACAGTTTCTTTACCGCAATGCTTTCTCAGAAGTAATCTTTAAATGTCCAGAGTCATTCTTACAGAGGGTAACACACAGTGAACAGCATTAAACTCTATGACCATGAATTCATATTCTACAGGTTTAGGATGTCTCTCCCAAGGAACATGACTTTAAGAAACATCAAACCTACTCTGCTGGACTACTCAGAAATCAAGAGGTTCAGTTAATTTTTGTCACGTAACTTATGTAATATTTTCAATTCCTAAACCATAGCATATAAGTGTATGTGATATCTACAAAGATGCACACCCCCATATTTACTTATATGCAAATTTTTAACGTTTTCCATATTTATATAGCATCTATAGGATAGTTAGGTTCCTAAACGTTTGTTGTAACTTTAACTAGATTTGTATTTAAACTATTTGTTTTCACATTTTTACTTGGTTTTAATCAAGATTTGGTGTTACACTATGACCTTATCATATCCCTCTTTACTTTATTAGCTCATTTAATTGATATGTGACTATATGTGTATTCACAGAATAACAAGTTGCATTTTATCAAGGTTCCATTTTATTTTTCCCATTTTATTGAGATATAATTGACATAAAGTCCTCCATAACTTTAAGGTGTACAATATGATTTGAGTACAATGTCATACATATTATAGCTACCACAATAATTTGTTTAGTTAACCATCCATCATCTCATATAGATATTAAAAAAAGAGAAAGAAAAAAGATGGGTTTTTTCCCTTGTGATGAAATTTACTTTCATTACTTTCAAATATACCATACAAGAGTATTAACTATAGTCATCATGCTGTACATTACATCCTAGTACTTATTTATCTTATAACTAGAAGTTTGTACCTTACCTTCTGACCACCTTAACCTAATCCCCTCACTGTATTTTTAAGGTCAGATTCAACAGACAAGGATGAGTGCTAATTCTTTCAAATTTCCTAATGAAAAATTATTGTTCTAGTGACTACTTTGTTATTGAGAGACCAGAAAGGGTTAATTCGCTTCCTAAAGTGCTTTTTACCTGGAAAGAGGGACTTGGCCTACCAACAGAAACATGAAACTGATAAAGTTGTAAAATTTAACGGAAATCTGTTAAAAGGATCAATCTAGTAGTCACATTTAGATAATACAACTGAATAATTACTTCATCCAGTGTCATAAAACACTAAATTCTCCAAATTGAACTCATGAATATCACATATTTTATAAGGACAAGAGGAGTTCTACAAGCTAGGCATTTAAGTGCTAACGTATTTTAAAAAGGTTATAATAATTTTCCTTCAAGCTGCCACCATTTCCATATCTTTACAAGCGAAGTAGAACTCTAAGGTAGAAAATTGTTTCATTTTGAAAACATGTCCTTGTAAATGAATATTTTACACAATGTCAGAAAAAGGTAAATGTATCAAAAAAAGTCTTTTATAAAGAAATTCTGATTCAAATCAATATCTCACAAATTAAAAAATGACTTTAATTCAATTTTTGTATGTCAAGTTTGACTGAATGGAGACTTGCTCACCTTAATTCTTTTAGCTTGCATTAACAATAGAGATGTCTTTTATCAGATTAATCATAGCTGTGCAAGAGTAAAATTAGATGAACTAGTCACCTACCTTTCTTTCTCTTGCTGATTTCCTTTATCACTTCCATTGTTAATCAAAGCAAGTTCATCTAATAATGATGTAGATTCCTTTGTAAACTTCTCAAAAACCTACAATATGAGATTTTATTAACATATTAAGGATAATCTTAAAAGTTAATATGTACATAAGGATTTTCGGTTAAGAGCAATAGAATCAGCGAGGCAGAATTCCCTTTCCCTCTCTGGGAGTCACTTAGTACAATTCAAGCACCAGAGCACAACAGTGTACACGAGAGAAGACAAAATCACTTCCTAAAACAATAAATAGTTTCAACGGATAATTTTTAAATTTTTAAAATTTAAATACATTAAGAATTTATCTTTATTCTTCATTCAGCCAACTTTATCTTTATTCCTGTGTTTCTTTGAGAAACATCTGCACCAATAACAGTTTTAACTACAAGAATGTTTTTAGACCAGTTCTAACCCTCTACCAGTTATAGAACATTTCTTTATGTCATTCTATCACCACTCCACACTGGTTGCATGTGATAGAGTTTTACACACAAGCATGTAGCATAAAAATATATTAGTTATAATTCTAACATGATTTATTAAAATATTTCTAAAAAGGGATTTGGGCAAGTCTGTTTAAACGTAAGTAATAAAGTGGACACTCATTTGTCTGATATCATTGTTCAAATACGGTGGAAACAGAATTGCTCATCCATTCTGAAATAACCAAAAGTTCACCACTCTTCAAAAAAATTAGCATATAATCTAAAGTGAGTTCATGTGAAGTTTGTTCTTTCAGTCCCCAGCAATTTGATTAAACAATGTCAGATTATACAGAGTAGCAGATTTCAGAAGTCTGGTCTGACAAAGAAGATACACTTTTCAGAAAGGAAAATCTTAACCTGTCAAACTGCTCTTCAACTTCAGAGATGATGTTTAAATATCCTCTCTGAAACTGGTGTATCAACTAGATTACCTCTCAAGATATTATACTACTCTGTTATTCTCTTAAAAGATTTACAACTTGGACTAGCAGTAATACTGCTACTAATGACAAAAGTAATAGCCAATACTTGAGTGTCTGACTTCAGAGTATTTGCCTTAGAGCATCATACACTATACTACTTCATTTTTGTAAAAAGGAAAACAATCCACATTTTAGTCGATTAAAATGATAATCAAAATGTCTTATTTATATGTAATAACATTTTATCTCATTGTAATATACCAACCAGCCTCTTATTTAACCAGTCCATGTGATCATAGGTGAGACTCCCACCAAAATCTTCTGTTAACTGGCATGGTTCTATATAACGAGTCAACTTATTGGCAGACACTAAAATAACCTATGAAAGTAAAAAGAAAAGAAACATTTAGCAAGCCACTGTTAATGTCCATTAAAGTAATGAGGAGGTAAAATCAGGTTAAATATGCAATATTGTTTCTAACATGATATATTACCATTTATTTAATTAAAACAGCATTTAAAATCAATGAAGTGGATATCTGCTGGAAATAAGCTATCGTAAAACATTTATAATACCACATTTTAAAAAACAAGAGATATTAGCAGCTCGGTTGAAATAGTTTCCAAATTTTATCAAGATTAATAATTTCTTGGTAATAAAAATCAATTTCTTTAATACAATGACGCATTCAGCAAAGAATTTCATATGGCCTTAAAACTAGCTAGGTACACTAAAATGATATGCACAACTGAATAATAAATATGACAATCAAAAAATTACACAAAGTTTCTCTAACATTCCTTTGATTATATATTAACAAAATGTCCTCTAATAGTAGAGTAAAACTCAGAATAACTTATACTAATATTTAATTTGAAAATCAGAACTAAAAAGTGGGGAGAAGGTCAGAGAATTCATAAACTTGAAATTTAGATATTAAAATGATAATCTTTTAACTCTAAACTTTAAAAGATTTCAAATACAAATCATAGAAAGACCTAAGAGACCATTGTAGAGCTAAATAAAATTTCAGTGAAGATATACATGACTATAAAAGAAAATACAACTGTGGCACAGATATTCAAATGGTAGTGTTAATGCAAAAATGATACATGTAGGTTTGAATTTACCAAAAAACAATGGCTTGATAAGAAAAATGTGTCCAGCTGGGAAGAGCACTATTGCCACTCTAACAACAACAAAGGCCAGATAACCCACAAAATTAAAACTTTTCTGGAACTCCTCAGAGAGCTGAGGTCACAGAGAAACCAACTAGCCTGAAAGTGAAGAGAGAGAGGCACCAGAGAGAAGGCTGGAAGGAGCGACACAAGATGGCACGAGCCAATTTTGGGGATGATGGGACTCTTCTATATCTTGACTGTGGTGAAGGATTTATGACTATGTTTGTCAAATCTCATAAAACTGTAAGCTAAAAGAGATGAATTTTACTGCAGGTAAATTATATCTCAATAAATCTAACTCCAAAAAAAAAGAAAAACAAATAAGGAGGACTTGTGGAGGAACGACCAGAGAAAGAAAAAAGGAAGAGGAAACACACCCAATATGCTAAACTGGATACAGCCACAGTCTACTTGAAGTTATGACGTAACAATAAATGAGAGCAAATGACCAAGACTGCAAACTGTTTTGCTAAAAGCAGTAAAACTCATCCTTAGGAAGATACCAAAAACATGGTATCAAAAGTTCATAAAACTATCAGATAAAAATGGATCCAATGGATCCTATCATAATTAGAGTTTATAACAAATTGCTATAGATAACAATACATTAAATAGAAATTAAGAGCCTTAAATGTTTCTATTAGAAAAGAAAGTCTGGTGAATAATGAGCTACGGGACATACCTAAAAAGTTGGGGGGTGGGAAAAGGAGGAAACAATGGAATAAATCCAAAGAAAACAGAAAGGAGGTAAGAAATTAAGGAATTAATACAGCTAAAAGTTATTCCTGGAGCCGGCCTGGTGGCACAGCAGTTAAGCTCACACATTCTGCTTTGGCGGCCCTGGGTTTGCCGGTTCGGATCCCGGGTACAGACAAGGCACCGCTTGGCAAGCTATGCTGTGGCAGGCATCCCACATATAAAGTAGAGAAAGATGGGCATGGATGTTAGCTCAGGGCCAGTCTTCCTCAGCAAAAAGAGGAGGACTGGCAGCAGATGTTGGCTCAGGGCTAATCTTCCTCAAAAAAATAAAAAAATAAAAAATAAAATTTGAAAACGTTGTTCCTTGAAAAGACTAAAATGAAATCAACAAATTTCTGATAAGATAAAGCAAGAAGAAGAAAAGGCACAAACAAATAATAGTAAGAACTAAAGAACACGACTACATTTGATAGCAGTGGTTTAAGAGATAATATGGACACAGGACAATCTTGTGCCAATAATTATGCTAATTTAGAATAAATGGACAAATTCCTATAAAAATTGTAATTTAGCAAAACTGACATAAGAAGAAACAGTACACTTATAATCAATGAAGTGAAGTGGATCACTAGAGTCTTTCCATTTTCAGAAATCATACTGTTACTGGTAGTTACAGTATTGCTATTCTGAGATTACTTGATGAGGAAGAAAGCAAATGATTAAGATGGGATATTCCAATTCTGCCATCCCTGATGTCCTTGAGAAAATGGAATTCTTGGGAAAGAAGAAGTGAGAGGGAAAAAGTTACCCTTTTGGTCTTCAATTTGAATTGGAAGTAACAGTTTAAACTCATGATGTATTTCATCTTCAAATAAAAACACACATACTCACATACATAAATTTTCTAGTTCTGTCCACTGAAACATTTAGAAATAATGACCAATTCTGTAGAAAAGCACACTGCTAGCATTCAAATTATCTCCAAATACCATTCCCCACTAAAAGGAATCAAGGGTCCCCGGAGAAATGCCATATTCCAGGTCTGGGGCTGGAAATACACGTGATGAGCTTGGAGCATCTTCCCATCCACATATCAGGAAAACCATCAAAGACTGCTACGGTTGTGCCAAAAGGTCCTGAAAAGGCTTCCACTGGCCAAAAATGTAACGATTTGCTATCAATAAGAATAATAAATGACGTATTGTACAATATGAAGTACCTTTAATTCAATGAGCTCATATTAATACAAAAGACATGATCACAATTGGACTATGCTGGGGAACAAATTTACTTTACTTAAAACCAGCAAATAAAGGGAAACAGGCATTTATCTCATCTTTCATATACAAACTGTACCACTGAGTAAATAAATAACAAAGGGAAGTTCTTCATTATAGAAATATTCTAGATAGTGAAAGAAGAAAGAATAATAAAACTAGAATATCACCATTTAAAATCTTTAATAAATGAAGAGATCTAGGCACTGAACATTCACAGCTGCTAACATCACAAAAAAGGAACACTATTATGAGCTCTGCGATGAAGGAACACACACATCACCACCAATAAAGAGCCTTGGAAAAAGAAAATCAGATCTGAATCTAACCAACTGTCTAAATCCAACTATCAATTTATGGAAATACAGAATTTGAAAAGGCAGAAGACTATGTTAATATGTTAACAAGAATAGGTTAAATTACACCATAGGGATGCTCTCTGCAATATGCAGACTATGAAAATCTCTATAGAAACCACCTAGTAACCTTGAGAAAAAAATGTGGGAGAAAAAAGGAGAAAGAAAAATTAAGATTAAAAAGCTTCATTTAGGGGCTGGCCCGTGGCCGAGTGGTTAAGTTCGTGCACTCCACTGCAGGCAGCCCAGTGTTTCGTTGGTTCGAATCCTGGGTGTGGACATGGCACTGCTCATCAAACCACACTGAGGCAGCGTCCCACATACCACAACTAGAAGGACCCACAACGAAGAATATACAACTATGCACCGGGGGGCTTTGGGGAGAAAAAGGAAAAAATAAAATCTTTAAAAAGCTTCATTTAATGGACTAATACAGAATCCTACAAGCAAGAATAAGAGAATTACATATTCTTTTCAAGCAACCATGAAAACTTCAAACTCTTGACTGTGTATTAGGCCATAAGGAAAGCCTTGGTACATTTCAAAGGAACTAACTGATAACATGTCTATCAGCAGAGTGAAATTAAGTCAGAAATCAATAATTAGTCAAATCAGAAATCATTAACAACATTTTAAAACCTTATCCAATTGGAAAGTCATCTCAACCAATCATAATGAGTGAACATTATTTAGATCCTGATTCAAATCAATTAATCTGTGTGTGAATAATTTATATACAAATTTACAAGTAAATTTTAAAATATTTATATGTAACATTTTTATATAACTAAATCCTTTTATAACATTTATCAAATAATTATAAATTTGAAATCAACTGGCTCTTTGATATTAAGGAACCATGTTTTTTAAGGCAAAATGGTATTGGTTACATTTTTTAAAAAGAATCTTTATGTTTTATAGACACATAGTAAAATATTTACAGATAAACTGAATGTCTTCAATTTCCTTCACTATAATAACCTCAGTCTTCCCTGGGGAAAGTGGTTAAGGGTAAGGATGGGGCAGAATGGACCATGGGTTAATGGTTGTCAAAACTGGGCATATGGATACATGGAGTTAATTATAATATTCTGTTTGTTTTTTTATGTGTTAATAATTCTTTATAACAAAAACAGTAAATATCTAAAATAAATAAATAAATACATACATACATATATATATATATATATATATATAAATCTCTCTTTTAAAAAAAATCTTCCCACAAAGAAAATACCGGGCAGCAGTTTACAAGTGAGTTTTAAAAATCAAAGAAGAGATTTTCAGTATCTGAAAAATTCTTTATGAACTCATCATGTTGTGAGAGTTTGTGTGTCATGGTGCAAGGTATACTAGCCTCAAACTAGTTCCAGTTCTGGCTCTGCCCCTTACTATCCCTGAGACTTCTAACAAGTCCTACAAGGCCTTGGAGCCCCATGGCCTCCTCTGTAAAATCAGAACATTTGTCCTGATGATCTATAAGCTTCCTGCTGAGCTTGACAGTCTTAAGAAGCTTTGCTAAAAAACAAAATTAAACAAAGGCTTCCAGAGAACAAAAACACAGAGAATGCTCTCAACTCATTTCATGAGACTCTAACAACACCAATACCAAGGATAACGTGAGAAAAGACAAGACCATAACGACTTGCAAATATCAGGTGTTAGCAAACATCAAGTGTTAGAAGAACTATGGAGCAGCCAGAATTCTCATACACTGCAAGTGGACACAGAAATTAGAACACCTCTTTGGAAAACAACTTGGCATTATCTTGTAAATTTGAACATTTCTATAATGTATGCCTGGATATTCTATAAACAGAGAAAATCTTATACACGTTTATCAGGAGACATATGCAAGAATGTTT